GTGGTGCGAAGGGGAGTGTAGGAACGGGCGCGCCGCTGGCAGCAGAGCCGAGAGGCGCGAACGGCAGTCGTCGACTGCGACGGACGGCGAGTGGAGCAGAGAGTGGGCGAGAAGTTTCCCACCCACCCTCACCTATTTAATAGATGCGACTTCGAGATTCGTCAAACCTGCATATCCTTAATCCCGACCATATACCTCGTCGTTATCACTCCGTCGGTGCGTTTTTTAGGGGCCGTCCTACCCTACAAACGAGCCGACGCGAGTGGTTTCGGCCGCTGACAGCCAACTGAGGCGAACGCTTGGTGATAGTGGCGCGGGCAACGGGGGCCTAATCTGGCTTACCAGCCGTGCGTTGTCTCTGATTCATTCTGCTGAGAGGGGCGGCTGATTGTGTGTGCGCTCTGCAGCGTCTCGCGACCGTCACCACCCTGACGTCACACATGGTGAGAGCTGCCAGATGGGCGCAGCAGGGCTGCCAGACGCGGCGTCTGCGCCGGCGGGGTCAGCTGTGTGACTTGTCCTTCTGGGGAGAGGGGGAGTGAGGTATATTTCTCATTACCGTCGGCAAGTTCACGTCACCGTGGTGACTGTCTACCGCAGATGGCGTGGTTCGGTCTCTGCTGTTACGGTAACTGCCGAGCTGCGGTGGCCAGACGGACAGGGGAAGGATAGCACTGTGTCACGATGCTGTTTAAATGCCAGTGAAGCGGCACGCCCCCGCCCAGCCAGCCGCCGCCGCCGCCGCCGCCTCCGCCCCAGGTGGCCGCGCCGGACCGCGACCGAGCTCCACGATCCACTCTGCAGGAGGAGCGGCATGCCGCCTCCGAATACGGTCATCTTCGACGGCAGTCTGGGACCGGCTGGGGCGGCCCCGAGGGCCCCTGGGCCGCTGCACCGAGCAGGGCTCTGCACAGGGGCGAGCGGGCCGGTCTGGAGCCGGCGACGAGCGCTGCACGCCGGCTGGGCGGCGCCAGCGGTCACCTTGAGGTCGGCCCGGCGGGAGACGCCGCCGGCCGGCGAACCTTGAGTGGTCGCACGACGGGACGGCTCCTGACTTGAAGGGACGAATACGAGAAAGCTCTCGGGCCCATGGGAGCGGCTGCTAGGCGCCTAGGTTTTTGGTCCGATAGGAATGGCTCATGGTATAAGGAGAAAGGCACCTTGCTGACGCGATTGTCTCCTGATCTGACGGAAGGTGCAACTCTCGATTGTGACGGGACATAGCACGTCTCTCGGGGGTCTCTCTCTTAGGTAGGCAAACGGCCTGACCTCGCTGGCTGCCAGGCGCTCTGACTAATACCGTCCCTAGTGAGTCTGATATCTCGTTACGGTGGCACTATGAGTAATGATTCCAATGTACCAGAGTTACGTATGTTATAAACATGTGTTCTCTCCCAGCGCCGGCCCGGTCTGGGGCGGTGTGGGGGCGGCTGTGGGCGGCGTCGGCCATGCTGTCATGCAGTAGACAACAGGGCTGATGTCAGCGGTCAGCTATGCCGGCTGCATGCATCGCCGCGGCGTCCGGTCTACTCAGGGCCATCTGGTGGCACGGACGGCCATTGGCAGCCACCGAGGGGTCCGTGGATGTTTTACATCGTTTTCAGCGGCATTTGTTGTTTGTTAATAATGAGTGGTTGTCTAATGATGTTTTTCCGCACGGTTTATTTGGGCTGATGGAGCTGCTGATGATAAACGGATTGCAGTTCGGTTCGCTTGTTATATAACCTGCCGCGTTGAGTCGGACGGATGCCGTGCTCTTCCGTGCCTTGCTGTCCCTGTCGTATTGCTGGTCTTCAACACCAAAAGGACCAGACCAGCCGTGTCAGGCAGCCCGCAGCCGGCTGTCGACTCACAGTGTCGTGTCTCTGGCATTAGCGTGAAACCGCCGGCTACCGGTGTTACTCACACTTTCCTCCTGACTGCTCTATGTAAACTGCGCAAACAACACCGACAGAATACAGCCGACTGGGCGCCTGCATACAAACACTGACTGACGCTGGTGGTGGATGCCCGGAGCTTGAGGGGCACAAACTCTGTCCGTGAGGCCGTCGGACTTCTACCGATGGACCCCTCCGATGATTCATGCGAGGTCGACTAGATCCATTGAAGTTGGTGAGATTTTTTAGGCGCCATCGCACGCCTGGTCGTCCTGAGTGGTGTTTTGTTTTCGGCGGAATCAGCAGCCTGGCTCTTGGTCGTGGTCAGCTGATTAGGGAAGCGGCGGCCGACTTAGGATCTGCCAACCCCCTTCCCGAAACTCCTCTCCATCTCCTCTTCTGCCCTGCTTTCTCATCTGCTATGTTCTTTCTCAAGTTCTCAGCCAACCTCTTCTATTGTCATGCATCGTTCCTGTTGCGCCGGTCTCACCAACAGTGCTCGTTATTTCATGTGATGCTGCCTTCAGGGCTGGGCAGCCCACAATACCCTCACACGCCGCGCCCAAGGCCGAACGGTGTGCAGCGTCCCGACTCCGCCCGCCGACTCCCTTCATGTAGACAGTAATAAGGGGCCGGTGCTCAGCTGACTGGACGATCCGCCGTCGTAGAGGGCATAGTTAAAAATAAACGACCCCATGCATTAAATATTTTCCACGCGACCACGCTTTCACCTCGCTGATCGGCCTGGGTAGGAATTTGGAGCATGTGATGTGGATTTCCTTTGTGGTTGGATAAAAGCGAACCAATGAATGTGCCTATAGGCTCGCTGAACGGATACAGATCTGGAGTATCTTCATAAACTTAGGTGATGATCATACGCGGTGTGGATACCCACGGCCTTACCAATGCCATGACCAATGTTTCTGCCACCGCTTCTGATCTTGTACACAAACGACTTTCCACCTGGGACACCTATTCAAGTTTTAGAAGCCACCGGCATTAGACCTGGTCTCGGCGACTCCTGCCCGCCGTCGCCGGCCGGCCGTCCCGGTCAGCTCAGGCGCCTCTCGGGTCGCCCTGCCACCCCGGACAGGCGCGCGTGCTCTCAATAGAAATGAGCGGGCGCGACGCGAGCGGCGTCCACTTTCGCAGGCGCGACGGTCTCCGATGGGTGCTGGACGCAACGCCGGGGTGGGGAGAAAGTCGTCCCGCGGCGCCCTGACCGGCCGACTGGGGTGCTCACGAGCCTCGGCAGAGGTCACCTCACAGAAACGGTCGGTGGCTGGTGGCTCACTCAAAACTATGTTGGTATTCTAACAGAAGCGAATTGTGGCTAGCAATGAAACGGCACTTTCCTCAATATCATCCACATGCAATCGGTTAACCCTCAGTTTGGATCGTTTTTCCGGCATCACCATGTTTGGATCGAGTGCATCTGCTGCGGCTAGCTCGATGCATGCCACCTTTTGCAGCGTCTCTATTGTCACGTCACTCCACATCACGGCACGTCAGTCCGCATCACGTCATCGCACGTCACGTGACTCGATTGCGGCTCCGTCTCTGATGTCGGCAGGCCTCGCGGCAGCCAATCTCGGGCTGCAAGGCACGTTCGTTGTCCATTTGTTTTGCTCGCGCCTGTGTGCACCAAGAGGGCGGCGTCGTGTAGGGCTCGACTGATGCCTGCTTGCCGCTAATGGTGCAGGCTTCAAGGATTGCCCTTAGCCGGCTCGTGTGATGTTTGCTGTTTGTGTCGTGCTGCGGGGTGTTGAGCAGGACCGCGTCTCTCTCTCTCTCTCTCTCTCTCTCTCTCTCTCTCTCTCTCTCTCTCTCTCTCTCTCTCTCTCTCTCTCTCTCTCTCTCCCTCTCCCTCCCTCCCTCCCCGTGCTCTCTTTTCTCTTCTCTCTTCACTCTCGCCCACTGACACCCACTCTGACTTGTCGCGACTGCTCTGTCCCGGTCACTATCGCAATGCTTCAATGACATCACATATTGATAGGCACTTCCAAAAAAGGACACCGAATCGGTCGACAAGTTTTTGCTACATTGGGTCATCACGGTACTCGTTAAGTGACACTTGTACTCATATAGCATCAGCTTTCAGTGAAGGAAATCACTCTTCAAATGAATTACTGACGTTTTTAGTTGTTTTCGAGTAGAAGTTATTATGCTTTTGTAATAAGTTGGTCTATGACGATCTACTTAATAGCGATTCCGCCTGGTTTCCTCTGCAGCTGTGCCGGATAAAACTTTCACTCCCGCTGTTGGTGTGTGAGAGACGTGTCCATCCCTAACTAACTCGCTCAATGGGCTGTATTGTTTTACCGCTGTCACTCAGCACCATTCTGGCCTCAAGTCCTACGGTAAACACTGACGATTGAGTGGACACTGGACAGAGCCGTGGCACTGAGAACTTGTTAAAGATGATGTGTTTCATTGCCGGCTGTCCTAACCATTCATAGTTAGTTGACATTCATTGAAAACCAATGACAATACATTGACCTGCAATATACATACAGTGGTGCGTTACTCTTTCGGGAAGGGAGGGGGCGAGGGGGCGTAAGAAATGATAGTATCATTCATGTGTTTGTCAATGGTGAATTGATAAAAAAAATCTTTGTTTGTTTGTTTGTTTTGTTTTGTTGGGTTAGGCCCTTTCGGTCCAATTAGACCATTTCAGAGCCGGGAGGATGATAGGATATAGGGGGAGACATTGGTCTGGGCAGGCACCCTAGTGAGTCGCCGGGGCTGAGCCCGTCCAGAGGACAGGCCACCCAGCCCCAAGGCACTCACTGCACCTGGCTACGGGGTGCGCCCCCTCGGGAGCAGCGGTGCCGCTCCAAGGGAGCAGCCCGCATGAGATAAAGTTGCCTGTCCAGCCCGGAGGGGGGTTGCGGCGTGGAGGAGAAGGATTTCAGTATCCTGAGGATAAAAGCACGGAACGGTGATGAAAAAAAATCTTATCGTGTTTTCTTGTCTTGCTTGATGTGTTCATTCTCAGTTTTCCGATGGTGTTGCCAACCGACCATTTGTGACTGTGCTGCCATCTGTGGTATGTGACCGTACCGCCGGCTGTGCCCTTACTCTCGGCTGTTTCTGACCACACCCTCCGGTATGTGTCCACAGATATGTCACGTCGCAAGGCGGATCCACGGACCCGGAGCAGGAGGGCAGCTACGTGACCTCGATGGTCACCGAGGGCGAGATGGAGCCGCACACTTCATCCACCTCCTACAGCTACTCCAGCCCGGATGGAGGCGAGACCACTGTGTCGCGCCAGGTCCGCTCCTACACCTACTCGAGCTCGAGCAGCGGCGCGCCCGTCACTGAGAGCAGCTCGCGCTCGGTCCGTACCCACTCGTACCGGATCGAGGCGGACGGCGCCGCGGGCCAGCTGCTAAACGTGGCCGGCGTCACCCACCCGGAGACGGGCGAGGCGCTCACTCTGGGTGAGGCCACGCGGCGGCGTCTGTTCGAGCCGCGCCGCGGCTGCTTCGTGCACCCGTCGACGGGCGCGCGCCACTCGGTCGACGAGGCGGTGGACGTCGGTCTGCTGGACACCTCTCTGCGCCAGCTCATGCACCAGCGGTCGGGCGTGTTCGACGGCAGGTCGGACCGGCCGCTGACGCTGCTGGAGGCCATGATGGACGGCCTGATGGACCCGCAGGAGAGCATGTTTGTCGGCCCGGCTGCCGCCGAGCGGCCGCGTCAGGTAAGTGAGGAGCCGTCGGCCTCCGACCGGCCCACACTGCTGGAGGCCGTCATCGCCGGCCAAGTGGACACCGACAGCGGCCAGGTGACCGATCCCGACTCGGGCCGGCGCTACCCGCTCCCGGAGGCGTTCGACAGGGGTCTGCTGTCACTGGCGCACGATTACACCCGCATGTGCGGTGTCTCGCTGTCGGACGCCGTGCAGCAGGGACTTGTTGACTACGTTACTGGCACATTTGAGGATCGAAACCGTGGCGAAAAACTACAGCTGCAGGAGGCTATCTCGCGTGGTCTCATCAACCCAAACATTCATGAGGTTTTGAATACAGACACAGGTGTAAAGGTTACCGTCAATGAAGCCATCCAGCAAGGTATCATCAAGCCAGATCAGGGACGATTCATCGACAAGAAGACCCGCAAACGGATGCTGCTCATTGACGCCGTGAAACAGTACATGCTCTGCCGACCTCTGACACTGAAGGACATCCACGATGGTGGCAGGATGGAGACGTCCGGCACCATCTACGACCTGGTGACGAAGGAGCGCGTGACGCTTCTGGAGGCTGTGCGCCGAGGTATCGTCGATACGCAGCTGAAATGTGTGACGAACCTGTCAACGGCACAGCTTCTGACGTTGCCCCAGGCCTTCGCCGAGCGGATCGTTTTGCCCGAGGGCAAGTTCCGTGACCCGCAGACTGACGATGTGTTCTCATTGAGCGAGGCTGTGAACCGTGGACTCATCACGTCTGTGTCCACAAAGACCATATTCGACATTGACGGCATCAAGGACCCGGATACTGGCGACTACGTCAGTCTGAACGTGGCGCTGACCAAAGGCATTGTCAACCGCACCACCGGCGAATTCCGCGACAGCAAGAGCGGTCGCTCGATCCCGCTGGACGAGGCGGTCGTGCAGCGATACATCCAACCGCAGATCAACGAGATGCTCTCTCGTCCGATCGGAATCCACGACGGCGATCACGAACTGACTGTGTTTAGGTCGGTGCTCCGACAGCGGCTGAACCCCCAGACGGGCCAGGTGACTGACCCTGACACCCTGGAGCCCATGCCGCTCGAAGAGGCCGTCCGCAGGCGCTGCATCACCCTGGAGGGCGCCTCCCTGCTCAAGAGCATGCTCAACATCACCGTCACTACGGCTACCGTCACGAAGACCATCAAGCGGTACGTGACGGTGACCTCCGATGGCCAGTCGGCACCAATGCCCTTCGATGAAGCGATTCGACGTGGATACATTGACGAGACGCGCAGCGAGTTTGTGGTACCATCCAGTAACCAGAGAATGCCTCTGGACGAGGCGGTGCGGGACGGTCTGCTGGAGGAAGTGCCGGCCGACTACGAGCCCGGTCGTCCGTATGCTCCCCGCTCCAGCAGCACCTCGACCACGACGCGCACGTACCGCACATACGTGACGCGCACTGGAGAGAAGCGACCGACGCCCGACCGCGCCACCTCGCCGCCCAAACGCCTGCGCGACTGGTCAGCCGAGCCGATACCGGCTGAGGATGCGCCCGGATCGCCGGCACAGCCCGGCGATGGGTACGAGAGAACTACACGCACCACGCGCATTGTGCGCTCCAGTTACGAGGACGAGCCCGAAACAACCACCAAGATCTACAAGCGCGTGGCGCGCCGGCCACGAGATGACGTGGAGGAAACTACAGTGACCACAGTGCGCAAGTACGTGATGAAGCGCACTGTGCGCCGACGGAGGACCACTGGACCTCCGGACGCACCGACTGTTCATGAAGACGAGGAGGAAGAGACCACTACAGTCCTTGAGATGCCCGAGGATGGATGGTACCTGGACGAAGTCATTCGCATGAATTACTATGACCCGCGTCGCTGTATCTTTGCCTTCCCCGAAGCTGACCGAGTTATCCCATTCGAAGAGTGTGTTACACTGAAAATTATTGACCGTAAATCGGCTAAGGTGGAAGATCCTGAAAGCAAGAAACCTTTGGATATTGAAGAAGCACTAGATAAAGGTGTGCTGGATCATCAAGGTCGGTACATCGTGAACGGGAAGCAGTACACCATGGAAGAGGCAATAGAGAGGAAGTTCGTACGCACTGAAGTTCGACGTACCCAGGTTAGGCTCGTCCGCACAGTTGAGATCATCGAAATCGTTGGAGAGCCGGACCAAGTGCGCGTTTATGAGCCTGAACAACCTGGCAAGCCACGCAAGTACTATGAGATCGATGATGATGAACCAGAAGCGCCACGCCGCCGCCCACGGCCTGGTGAGCGTGCTCCTCGTAAGAAGAAGCCTGAGCCGAAGGAGGACCCGGAACCTCGGCGAGTGCAGCCGATGGACGATGAACCCGAGTTCAAGTCGGTTCGACTCACGAAGACCAGTAGTGCCCCAAAGCATCCGCTGGAACGTGAGCCCAGTCCTGATAAGAAGCGGCTACGTCCAGAGGATGATGTTCGCAGCAAAATCAAATTCTTCACTCGCCGTCCACATGAAGACACTCCTCCGCGACAAGAGGAAGCTGAACCCGTTGATGCTTTGGAGGTGGAAATGCCTGAAGATGGCTGGTATCTTGACGAAGTTATCCGAAAGAATTACCTGGATCCCGTGTCTGGCACTTTCATTTTCCCAGGATCGGACCGAGTCATCACATTTGAACAATGCGTTACCCTGCGCATCATTGATAAGACATCTGCTACTCTTCGTGAGCCAACCAAACCACATGGACGACCACTGGATCTGGAGGAAGCGTTGGAACAAGGTACCCTTGATCCGCACGGCCAGTTTGTAGACGGCACCCGACGTATTCCGCTGAAGGAGGTTATTGAACGTGGAATAATCAAGATCGAGAAGACCACTCGAACCGTAGTGCACCGCACGCGCATTATCGAGATCCGACGCATTGTCGACCAGACAGATGTTATTCGCATCTACAAGCCACGTGAGCCCGGACAACCCCGCAGCTATACCGAACTTGTGTTCGATGCGCCCACAGAGGAAGAACCGGATGAGCCGCGCTATCATACAGAGTTCACCACGCAGACGCGGCGGCACGTCACTCGTACGCCTCAATTCACCACTCGCTACGTCACCAGCGTAGGCGAGCCGGAGGAGCCCGACGAGCCGGAGCAGTACACCACCCGCTACTACACCACACGGCGGAGCGATGACGGCAGCACTACGCAAACAACCCGAACCACCACCACGCGTCGCACCATCCGATATGTGGACGGTCAACCGGTAGAGGAGGAGCCCGATGACGATGACGACCACCCAGGCACGTCTCGTACCGCGCGGTACACAACCCGCACCGTTCGGTATGTCAATGGTAAACGTGTGGAGGGGCCAGAAGATGAGCCAGAGGATGATGATCACCGCCCAGGATCGACGCGAACTACTCGCACCACCACCACGCGAGTCATTCGCTATGTCGATGGGCGTCCAGTTGAGGAGCCGGAAGATGAACCAGAAGACGAGCGGCGCCCTAAACGCCCCGGTGACTATCGTCCTGATGAGAAGGAGCCGAAACATCCGCGGCCAGATGAACCTGAGCCAGGTCAATACACAACGCATACGACACGCTCTGTGTACACTACTCGATACTCGTCCGATGACAGGCCTCGTTCTCCGGACCGCGGCGAGCCTCGTCAGCACCCCAGGCGTCCCAGTGATCGAGTGGCTCCCGAAGACCTGCCCGCTGCTGGTCTTCCATCTGATCGGGAGCCTCGAGAACCACAGCAACCTGGTCGGACCCGGAGTCCACCCTCAAGGCGGCCCAGTGATCGGGTGCCCCCCGAAGACCGACCGGCAGCCGGAATTCCGTCTGACCGTGAGCCAAAATCGCCCACGAAGCGGACATCCTCTATTACAGAGCGGTATCTATCCAAAATATCTAAGCCAGAGGACGAAAAGCCCAAGCCTAGAAGGCCCAGTGATTCCAAGCCAAGCCGGCCAGGTGACAAGCCGAAACAACCCGCTGAAAAACCGGGCCGGTCCGGTAGTGACAAGCCGAAGAAAGGTGACAAGCCCCTCAAAGACGAGCCGTCTCGACGTCCTTCGAAGGACGTACCAGAACGTCCTAGGGTATCGAAGAGCTCGCCAGATGAAAGTCCTGATAGGCAACCTGCCGACGACAAGCCTGTCAGGCCTGGAGATCGGACAAAGAAGCCTAGCATGGATAAGCCTCGCCACCCCGGTGACGAATCTCCCACCGATACTTCTCCTGAGAGACCGTTGAAGGACAGTTCCGGACGTCCTGTCCGTCCTCATGATGATTCTCCTGACAGGCCGAAATCAACTAGCCCCGATCGCTACACCACAAAGACAACAAGAACAATTGTTACTTCTCGGTATACAACTGATTATCCGGATCAGCCAAAGGATAGTCCTGGGGCCAGTAAGCCAGTTCGTCCTGAGGACGATAGGCCAGATAGTCCTACGCGCAGACAGCCCAAGCGTCGTGGTGAAAAGGAGCCATCTCTTCCTAGAGATAAGAAACCAGAACAACCTGGATCTGATCAGCCTCGTCCTGACAGTTCTAGTCCGACATCTGGTGATGATCAACCTGGTCGGCCTGGTGACAGGTCTCCCGACGATCGATCTCCGAGGAGACCATCAAAGGGAAGTCCTCGACGTCCTGGGCGTCCAAAGGATAAATCACCTGATGAGAGACCACAGAGTCCTGATGACTATACAAAAACTACAACCACAACAACCGTTACGTCTAGGTACACCAGCAAAACTCCTGATGAACCGAAGCACGATAAACCGAGGCGTCCTGGAGATAGGTTTCCACGTACTGGCGACGATCAGCCAAAGGTCGAAGAATATGAACCAAAGCGCAAAGATGATAAGCCCAAGCGTCCTGGGGATACTAGACCACGGCGTCCTGGAGATAGCAAACCGGGACGTCCTGGAGATGAGCCAAGAAGTCCTAGAGACGACAAACCTAGACATCCAAAGGAAGAAAAACCTGGACGCCCTGATGACACAGGCGACAGGCCGAGAGACAAATCACCCGATGACGTATCTACTAAAAGGCCAGAGAGGGGTGTTCCAAGAAGACCTGGACAGCCCGACGATGACTCTCCAGATATGGACCGACCGGAAAGCCCTCGCTCTTACAGTCAAACAGTGACCAGAACAACCGTCACTTCACGCTTTACCACGGAATATCCAGATGAGCCTGAAGATGACAAACCCAGACGTCCGGGAGATGACAAACCCAGGCGTCCTGGAGATGAACCCAGACGACCCAGTGATGGTAAACCTAGCCGTCCTGCAGGCGATAGACCCAGTCATCCGAGGGATGACAAACCCCGACGTCCGGGAGATGAAAAACCCAGACTCCCTGGAGATGACGAACCCAGACGTCCTGGAGATGACAAACCCAGGCGTCCTGGTGATGACAAAACCAGACGTCCGAGAGATGACAAACCTAGGCGTCCAGGAGATGACAAACCCAGACTTGGGGATGACGATTCCCGCCGTCCTAGAGACGACAATCCGGGTCGCCCTAAAGACGATAAGCCGCGACGTCCTTCAGATGATGAACCTGCACATCCTGTTAGTGGCAGGCCGTCTCGACCAAGAGTCGAGTCTCCAGAAAGTCCAGACCGTTTCACCACTCGAACAACTAGGACTACTGTAACTTCGCGCTATACGACTGGATACCCTGATCAGCCTGACGATGAGCCTCAGCGTCCTCTACGCTCACCGGACACTTCACCCAAACGACCCGGCGACAGAAGCCCCGATCGTCCAGAGGATAGGAAACCAAAAGCTCCTGGGGATGAACATCCGGAGGCACCGGAAGATAAGCACAGATACCCTAGCGACACCAGTCGCAGGCCTAAACGCCCTGAGAGCCCTACACGCTCTGGTGACACCAGCCCTAAACGTCCTGGTGACACCAGTCCTAAACGTCCTGGAGAAAGGAGGCCAGATCGTCCAGGAGATGACAAGCCAAAACGTCCTGGTGACGCTAGCCCTAAACGCCCTGGAGATAGCAAGCCAGACCGTCCAGGAGGTGACAAACCTAGACGCCCTAGTGACGCCAGTCCTAGACGGCCAGGAGATAGCCAGCCAGATCGTCCAGGAGATAGCAAGCCAGATCGTCCAGGAGATGACAAACCTAGACGCCCTAGTGACGCCAGTCCTAGACGGCCAGGAGATAACAGGCCAGATCGTCCAGGAGATGATAAGCCCAGACGTCCTGGTGACACTAGTCCTAAACGACCAGGCGACGTCAGGCCAGATCGTCCAGGAGATGACAGGCCCCGACGTCCTGGGGACACCAGTCCTAAACGACCAGGAGATAGCAAGCCAGACCGTCCAGGAGATGTCAAACCTAGACGCCCAGGAGATGGCAAACCAGACCGTCCGGGAGATGACAAGCCTAGACGTCCTGGTGACACTAGTCCTAAACGCCCTCAAGATGGGAAGCGGGATCGTCCGGGAGATGATAAACCTAGTCGACCTAGGGACACCAGTCCTAAACGCCCGGGAGACAGCAAACCAGACCGTCCGGGAGATGGTAAGCCAGATCGTCCTAGAGACGACGAGCCAGGCCGTCCTAAAGATGACAAACCTAAACGTCCTGTGGACACCAGTCCCAAGCGCAAGACAAGTCGTCCAGGAGAGGATCAACCTAGACGCCCAGGAGACACCAGTCCTGAACGCCCTGGTGACGATGAGCCAGTCCGTCCGAGAGATGACAGGCCTCGACGTCCTAGCGACACTAGTCCTAAACGGCCATTGTATAGCAAACCTGGCCGCCCGGGAGATGACAAGCCCAGACGTCCGGGTGATACCAGTCCTAAACGCCCAGGAGAGGATAAGCCAGGACATCCGGGTGAAGATAAACCCAGACGCCCAGGTGACAGGAGCCCTGAACATACTGGAGACGATGACAAGCCTGAACGTCCCAGAGATAGTCATTCGGAACGCCCCGGTGTTACCAGGCCGGATCGGCCTCGTGATGAGCAGCCCCGTCGCCCTAAAGACAAATCACCCGATGCGGGGTCTCCTAGAAGGCCATCCCCTGAACAACCTGATGACGATTATCCAGACAGAGAACGCCCAGAAAGTCCTCGCTCTTACACCAAAACGGTGACGAGAACTATCACTTCACGGTATACCACCGATTATCCTGATCAGCCAGATAAGGACAAACCCCGCCGTCCAGGGGATGACAAACCCAGACGTCCAGGGGATGACAAACCCAGACGTCCAGGAGATGACAAACCCAGACGTCCAGGGGATGACGAGCCGAGTCGTCCTGGAGACGATGAGCCGGGTCGTCCAGTTGATGGCAAACCCCGACGTCCAGAGGATGAGAAACCCCGCCGTCCAGGGGATGATAAACCCCGCCGTCCAGGAGATGACAAACCCAGACGTCCAGGAGATGACAAACCCAAACGTCCAGGGGATGACAAACCCAGACGTCCAGGGGATGACAAACCCAGACGTCCAGGGGATGACGAGCCGGGTCGTCCTGGAGACGATGAGCCGCGACTTCCTTCAGATGAGAAACCAGGGCGTGAAAGGCCAGTTCGTTCAAGGGGCGAGTCTCCTGAAAGTCCAGAGCGCTACACTACTCGAAGCACCAAGACAATCGTAACCTCGCGCTTTACGACTGAATACCCTGAGAAGCCTGATCAGCCCGATGACGATGAACCTGGTGATAGAAAACCATCACGTCCATCTGAATCAAAACCCAGACGTCCCTATGAAGCTAGCCCTAGTCGTCCGGGGGATAAGAAACCAAGACGTCCTTGTGAAGATCAGCCTGAGGACCAAGAAGATGATAAGCCCAGACGTCCCAGTGGTGCCAGGTTCGGACATCCTGAGGATGACAAGCCTAGACGTACCGGTGACACTAGTCCCAGACGTCCTGGAGATGACAAGCCTGGTCGTCCTGGTGACGAATCACCTAAACGTGAACCAGTCAGAAGGCCATCAAAGGGTGCTCCAGGACAACCGGGTCGATTGAGTGATTCTCCAGACAGAGAACGTCCCGAGAGCCCTGAAAGATACACTTCACAAACGAGGACTACTGTTACATCAAGCTTTACCAGACGATACCCAGGTGAACCCCATGAGCGTGAGCCAAGGAAGCCAAGCCGCCCAGAGGAGCCAGATCGGCCGGATGAAGATAGACCTAAACGTTTTGGTGACCGCCCTAAACCGGAGCCAAGACGACCCCATGACGTTGACCGACCTGGCCGGCCAAGGGGCGAATCTCCTGAAAGTCCTGACCGTGGTATTACACGAACTACAACGACCGTTACCTCACGTTACATCGGTGTAGGCCCCGACGAGCCCCAAGATTCCTCTCCGAGGCGCCCGATTGATGATAAGCCTACTGGCCATGACGATGGTGACCAACCGGACAGACCGGAACGTAAATCCCCGGATGACACTGACATTTACACCGCTAGAACCACCAGAACTATTGTTACTTCACGGTATGCAACGGAATATCCAGACGAGCCAGAAGATGGTAGGCCTCGACGTCCAGGAGACGTACCAGATGATGACAAGCCCAGGTATCTGAGGGAAAAGCCAGATGATATCAGAAAGGATAGTCCAGACAAGCCGGGGCAGTCAAAGGCTGGTCGACCTAGAGATAGGTCTCCAGAAAGCCCTGATCGTTTTACAACCCGCACAACTCGCACAACCGTTACATCACGACAAACAACGCAATATCCTGAAAAGCCGGGCGATGAGAGTCCCAAACAGCCTGCTAGTGACCGTCCAAGACGTCCTGGTGACACATCACCTGATGAAGGTACTCCTACCTATAGGAGACCATCCAAAGGTAGTCCAGCTCGCCCAGGTCGACCAGGTGATGACTCTCCTGGTAGGTCACATCCGGACCGGCCAAGAGGCGAGTCTCCCGAAAGTCCTGATCGATGTACATATAGGACAACAAAGACAACTGTGACATCGCGTTACACAGCGGGATATCCGGATGAGCCAGAGGATGATCGGCCACGGCGTCCAGAAGATGTGCCGGACGATGGTAAGCCCAAACGCCCGGGAGATGTACCAAAGGACGGTAAACCAAAACCGTATCTTCCTACAGACGATGAGCCAGGGCGACCCGGACGCAAGTCGCCTGACACTCTTGACCAGTACACGTCTAGAACTCGAACAACGATAACATCGCATTATACGACTGAATATCCAGATCAGCCTGAGAGTCGTCCTAGTGAACCTGATGATCGTCCAAGACAGCCTGGTGATCAGAGCCCTTCTCGCTCTAGGCCGTCGGAACGGCGTCCGGCTGAAGATTCTCCGGATAAAAGACGACCCGAAAGCCCTTCTGGACTCACTAAGAAAACAACAACTGTTACAACGAGAGTTACAAGCAGATCTCCTGAAAAGCCTGATAAGTCCAAACAACCTGCGGATGATAAGCGTCGCCATCCCACAGATGAAAAACCAAAGCGCATCAGTCGCGACAAACCAGAGTCCCCAGATATTGATAAGCCATCGCGTCCGCGAGACATCAAACCTGGTAGCCCCGTGAAAGACCGGCCTAGTCCTCGTGAAGATAAGCCCGGCCGTCCCGGCTCTCAAAAGCCAGTCGGTCCTGATGATGAAAAACCCAGTCGTCCGAAGGATGGAAGACCGGGGCGCCGTCCTGATGACGAGAAACCTGGACGGCCAGGACTGGACAAGCCAAAACGACCAGGCGACAGCTCTCCAAGAGGTGAATCGCCGACCAAACCTTCAGCCGGACGACCTGGGAGACCTGGCGATACATCACCTGATCGCAAGCGTCCGAAGAGTCCTGATGATTATACAACACGGACGACAAAAACAACCACGGTTACATCACGGCCTGGCACACAACGCCCTGATGATGCGAAGCCGAGAAGTCCGATAGACAAATCCAGTCAACCTGGTCAGCCTGGCGAAGACTCGCCTGACGACCGTCCTGAAAGTCCGGAACGCCGTACCACTCGTACGACCAGGACTACAGTAACGTCAACGTTCACTGCACAAATTGAAAGCCCTCAAGATGATGAGCCTAGTCGACCACACGATTCTTTGGATCGTCCTCGACGTGGTGATAAGCCCAAGAGGCCTGTTGATGATCTACCTAGTGATCGTTCTCCGAGGAAGCCTTTGAAGGAGGGTCCCATCGACGATTCTCCTGATGATAGGCGGCCTGAAAGTCCCGAGGGATACTCCAGAACTACAACAACTGTGACCTCTAGGTACACCAGCCGATCCCCCGAGAAAAGGCCAGAAGACGATAAGCCAAGAAAGCCAGGCGATGGCAAACCAAAGCGTCCTGATGATGAAAAGCCGCGTCGACCGATCGATGAAAGGCCAAAACGTCCCGGTGATGGGACAAAACGTCCCGAAGATGATCCACCTGTAGGTTCTGGAGGGAAACCACGTCGCCCTGGTGACGAAAAACCAGAACGACCAGGGCAGCATAAACCGAAGCGCCCTGGTGAAAAATCACCAGACGAATCGCCAGACCGGAAACAACCGGATGACGACAAACCAGGACGTCCCAGCGATAAACGGCCCGATCGTGTTGATGGCAAACCTAAGCGCCCTGGTGATGACAAACCGGAACGACTTGATGATTCTCCTGATCGTTCACCGGCAAAGAGTCGTCCTGACGACGAATATCCTGCTAAAAAACGTCCCGACAGTCCTGGTAAATCTACGAGGACCACGCCAACACCACGAACCGCAAGCAGGTCACCTGAGAAAACTGAACCTGGTAGACCGAAACGTCCTGACGAGGTCAAGCCTGGTCGCCCCGGAGACGCAAAGCCAGGACGCCCTGGCGATGAAAGTCGCCCGGGAGACGACAGACCCAGGCGCCCTGGAGACGACAAGCCAAGCCGCTCGGGAGATGACAAACCAAGTCGTCCGGGCGACGATAAACCCAGCCGTCCGGGAGACGACAAACCCAGACGCCCTGGAGACGACAAACCCAAACGTCCGGGAGACGACAAACCCAAGCACCCTGGAGACGGCAAACCCCAGCGCCCTGGAGACGACAAACCCAGGCGTCCCGGAGACGACAAACCCAGGCGCCCTGGAGACGACAAACCCAGACGTCCGAGAGACGACGAACCAAGTCGTCCGGGATACGATAAACCAAGCCGTCCGGGAGACGACAAGCCCAGGCGTCCCGGAGACGACAAACCCAGGCGCCCTGGAGACGACAAGCCCAAACGTCCGGGAGACGACGAACCAATTCGTCCGGGAGACGACAAGCCCAGGCGTCCCGGAGACGACAAACCCAGACGTCCGGGAGACGACGAACCCAGACATCCAGGTGATGACAAACCTAGCCGCCCGAGAGATGACAAACCAAGTCGTCCGGGAGACGATAAACCCAGCCGCCCGGGAGAAGACAGACCCAGACGTCCAGGCGATGACAAGCCTAGACGCCCAGGTGATAAACCTCGTCGTCCTGGAGATAAGCCAAGCCGTCCGAGAGACGAACAACCGCGCGACATCAGAGAGGATCAGTCTCGTCCTGCAGATGACGAGCCTGGCCGCCCTGGGACAGACAAGCCCGCTCGTCTGAGTGATGTTAGTCCAGATCGTCCCCGAGATGATAGACCTCGACGACCTGATGATAAATCGCGCTATCCGGAGGGTGATCGGCCCCGGCGACCGAGTGACAAATCACCAGAGAAAGAATCGCTCACGAAACCCTTCACTAAAAAGCCGGGGTACCCTGGTGATGAGTCGCCGGACCGGGCTTCCCCCGATAGCTCTGTTCACTCAACCAAACGAACTACCGTTACGTCACGATACATTACTGAACGGCCAGACAAGCCAGAGAATGGCAGACCCCGGCGGACATCCGATGCAAAGCCGAAACCTTCAGGAGATAGACCTGGACGCCCAGGAGATGACAAGCCGGATCGTCCAGGACGCAAGTCCCCGTCTAAGGAGCCCAGACCGGTGGAGCAGCGACCGATTAGACCATCTCAGTCTCCGGACAGGGGCGGCGAAGAGGTGCTCAAGTATTACACCACAACTGATGGGGATGATATGCATGTAGCTGAAATTGTGAAGCGAGGAGTCACTACCAAGAAGGTAAAGAAGGCTCTTGTTGTACATCCTCAAACCGGCGAAGAAATCACTCTGGAAGAAGCACTTGAGAGAGGTGTTATCGACCAGGAGACGTTTGACCAATATGCCGCGGAAGGTTATGTGGATGGAGCCGATGGCCAAATCACTTATGATTCTCAGTTAATCGAAACTTCTATCATCGTTCGTGACCCAAGGACTGGTGAGGAAGTTCCACTCGAGGAGGCTGTTGAAAAGGGTTTAATAACCCCTGAGGATGCCAAAGAACTATCACAGGGTCAGATGCCTCAGACACCAACTGAAGAGCCAGGCACTCGGGGACAGAGGCCAATGCGCAGAATCTCTGAGCCAAAGTTCAGTGTAACCATCGGCAGAGCAAAATCCATCGAAGCCGAAGAAGGGAAGCCAATCATCCTGCAGAAGGTTCGGAGAAGGGTTGTTAAACCAAAAGATGCAGTGGACCGCAATCTCATTGATGAAGACACCGCTGATGTTCTGGATAACCCGGACAGCTTCAAAGATAGCAGGGGGAAGCCATGCACCCTCTTAGATGCGATCAAGACCGGCAAGGTTGATTCAACGACAGGCAACATCAAAGACCCTTTGAAGGGAGAAGACCTGACGATTGAGCAAGCCATAGAGCGTGGAGTTATTGACATCTATCGGGGTAACCTGCTGATCCCGGTGGCGAGGTGTCTCACTTTCCCGGACGTTATGGATCAGGGTCTCTTCAACCCTCGCACACAGCGCATTATTCACCCTGAGACTGGTGCCGAGCTCACGATCGAAGAAGCTCTGATTTGCGAAATCCTGGACCCGCTATCGAGGGTGCTTGGCGCAACTGAAGAACCAATCACCTTGCAGGAAGCTATAGAGCGAGGTTTCATCAACCCTGAAACCAATGAAATCCGTTCGGAAGATCGTCCAAAAACCATTTCTGAAGCTCACAATGAAGGTTTCTTTGATTGGAGCACATACGCCCTAAATGATGACCTTCCTCCTCTTGGCATCACATTCCCAGTGGCTGTTGAGCGAGGCTACATAGAGCCGAAGAAAAAGGAACTTCTCAACAACGTCACCAAGGAAATGGTTCCCCTGGAGATTGCCATTGATCAGGACATATTGATGGTTCTCCCATTCCCATTGAGTCCGGATGCTGTCGATTTGATGGATGCTCTCGACCAGAATCTGATTGATGTGAAGAAAAAGACGTTCAGGCATCCCAAGAACAACGAAGTGATGCCGATAGGAAAGGCGGTCGAGAACGGTCTGATTCGCATCAAGCCCGTCAGCCCAGATGATGAACTGCTGGCACCATGTGATGGAATCACGGAGACACTGACACAGTATCACACCATCACCACTCGAACTATTCAGTTGACTGCAGGTCACATCTTGCATGGACCTGACCAAGTGAAGAACCTGAAGACGGGAAAGATCATATCAATCGATGAGGCTAGAGAGAAGGGCATTGTGAAAGACGATGATGAGACTGTAGAAGAATATACTACGCGTGAAATAAAGATGTCCTTCACTGAAGCCGTTAAGAAGGGACTGATCTGTTTCAAGACCAAGACGTACACTGACCCTCACACTGGAGAAAAAATGCCCCTGACCGATGCGATTGAGAAGGGTGTCCTCAAACCAACAGACATTCTTGAGCCGAACGAGCAGTTCAAGACACCCATGGACCTGGTTCAGGCTGGTCTCACCATTTACGACAAAAAGAACAAACGCTTCCGGGATCCCAAGTCGGGCCGACCGCTGACTCTTAAAGATACCACAGAAAAGAAGATTATTGACAAGTACTCCGTGGTTGTTGAAGTGAATACTGGCACCACATATACGGTCGCAGACGGCATGGACAAGAGGAAGATTGATCCTGTCACCGGCGACGTCACGAACCCCAGGACTGGGCGGAAGACACCGCTGGATGAAGCAATCAAGCAGGGGCTCATCGCTTCAGTCGATATCAACATTCCTAAAGGACAGTCGCTGGTTGACTTTGCCAAGAAGGCTGTCAAGAAGCGTGAAGATGAAAAACCCAAAGACGATTCACCTTTCGATTCAAAAGAAGAGCCCGAAGATCAGTTGCCAAAAGAACGCAGCGCCCCGAAACCCAGACCACAACCTCGTATTCCCAAGAGCAAACAAATGACCATCGAAGAGGCGATATGTGCCGATGAAATAGAGCCGGAGCGCTGTACTCTAGTTGTTCCTGCCACTGGAAGGCGGATTCCAGTGCGTGACATTGTCTCAAAGAAAATTATGTCATTGGAGAGCGTAGTCGAGGTCATCAGCAGGACAGACATCACACTTATCGAAGAAGTGTCTGCTTTGCTGTCTTCCACAAGAAAAGAACCCTCCCGAAAGCCAGTATCAGAGACTGAGCCCGGGCGCCGAGCTCCTTCGGAAGAGAAGCCCGGCCGCAAATCGCCCGTCAAGGGTAAACCATCGGACGAATATCCAACGGATACAAAGCCATCAAGCACGCGACCAGCGGAGCGTAATGGTGAACTATCTCCCAAAGACGAGCCGTCTGTGACAGCACCATTTAGGGAACCAGGCAGGAAGCCTTCTGAAATGGACAAGCCGATCGGTAAGGATGACAAGCAAGAAGAGGTGCCTACGCCAGAAACCGAGCGATATCCTAAAACATCGAAAACAATGGAGCCTTCTCGCAAGACACCACTCGATGAAGTTCCCTCACAAAGCGTCAGAAAACCAGGCAAATATTCGCAACTTCCGAAAAAGCCCAGAATGACTATTGAGGAGGCCATATGTGCTGATGAAATCGAGCCAAAACGGTGTACGCTTGTGGTCCCCAATACTGGGAAACGCATCCCCGTGGACGATATTATCTCAAAGAAGATTATGTCGCTCGACAGCGTTGTTGAGGTAGTCAGTCGACTTGAAATTATTTTGCTGGAAGAAGTGTCGATAGTTGTGTCATCCAGAAGACCAAAGGAGCCCGTTACACGCAAATCATCTGCGAAGGATGAGCCCTCTAGCAAATATCCGACAAAGGATGATCAATTGCGACGGTCTCCCAGCAAAGAAGAGCCATCTAGAAAGACGCCAAGCAAGGATATTAGCCGTCGTTCTCCATCTGAAGAAGAGCCATCTCGGAAGCCTTCAACCAAGGGCGAACCTTTCCGAAGATCGCCAACTAAAGAGGATGCGTCTCGTGACCTGACTAAGGAAGAACCTCATCACAAAGCTCCTTCGAAAGAAGAACCGTCTCGGAGGCGTCCTTCCAAGGATGAGCCGTCTCGTCCCTCTCCGAGCCGAGCTAAGCCTTACAAGCGGCAGCCAAGTGATGAAGAGTCCCCTCGCCGACGCCCATCTAAGGAGGAGCCGAGTCGTCCTCGTGCACAGAAAGATGGAGATTTGTCTGAACCAGAGAGGCGATCGCCCACAAAAACGTCCCGACTCACACATGAGGTGGAACCGGCCAAGGAACCGGAAACATTTGTCACAGTCAAGCAAGTTAAGTATACTCAGCTGCCAAAACGTCCCAAAGTGACACTCCAAGAGGCGATTGACGAAGATCAGATTGAACCGAATCGCTGTGTGCTAATCATTCCGGCAACAGACAAGCGAATTCCTGTGCGTGATATCATTTCCAAGAAAATCATGTCGCTAGAAAGTGTTGTTATGGTCATGAGCCGTACGGAGGTTGTGCTGGTAGAAGAGGTATCAACGATTGTGCGTCGTCTGATGCGGCCCGTGTCTGCTGTCGAGGCAGGCATTTACGAACCTGACAGTGGCCGCTTCATCAACCCAGACACGCAGGAGCACGTTAGTTTCAAGTCTCTGGTGACCCTTGGAATCATGCCGGCTGAAGCGATTCGTGTGCTTGACTTGCAATCAAATCGTTACATGCCAATGGACGAGGCGATCGAGCAGCAGCTCGTTGATGCCGAGACAGGTGACGTGTATGACACCGAGACTCGTGAGACAGTGAGCTTCTTCCGTGCAGTCAAAGAAGGCTTAGTGAAGCCAGAAGACGAGAAGCCAACGAAGATCCCGCTCAGTCGAGTCGTTGACAAGGGATGGTACAGTCCCAAGCGCGGTACTGTGAGTGTGCCTGGCTATGATAAGCCAATGCCACTTGACGAAACTTTCCGAAGGGGTATCGTGAACCTCGATACAGTGTTGGTGATTGACAAGAACTCCAACGAGTACATACCAGCGATGCAGGCTGAAGAAAATGGACTGATCGACCTCCTTGACGGTGTTGTGAAGGACATCGACCACAACAGGGACATGCCTATGGCACAGGCTTTGAACAAGGGAATCATCATCCCCCGACGCGTGCCCATGTCGCTGGAGGCCGTCATCCGTCGCAAGCTGTACCATCCCGGCACCGGCCGGATCATTGTGCCGGGTACCGACGAACCCGTCAAACTCGACGAAGCTATTCACCGGCAGCTGATCGATTCGGAATCATCACAGATCAAGGACACGCAGAAGAACGAGTCTGTGACGCTGGAACGAGCTATCACCACACGCTTGGTGGATATCACAACTGGCCAAGTGACTGACACCCGAAGCGGTCATAGCAAGCCACTCGACAGCGCCTATCGTGAGGGTATGATCTGGACAAAGCCTATGCCAGTTGATCTCACTGACGCTGTTCAGATGGGCCTGTACGAACCAGACACTGGAAAGATCATTGATCCGGCGAGTGGTGAAGATGTGACACTCCAACAAGCTGTTGAACTGAAAATCATCAATGTCGAGTCGATCATTGTGGTGGATGTGGAGACTAAGGTTATCCACACTTACGACCGAGCCGTGCGTGCTGGCCTGGTGGACACAGAGCGTGGCGTTATTCGCCAGCCAGACCACGATGTGCCGCTGGATCGTGCCTTCGATCAGGGCATGCTGGCCGAGCGCAAGCCTCCTTTGGCATTGCAGGAGTTCGTCGAAAAAGAACTGTACGAACGGGCTACTGGCCATCTGATTATTTTCCGCACGAAAGAGCGTGTGACAATCGAGGAGGCTATTGTTCGCACTGAGATTAACACCTTTGCTGAGACCATGAAGCATCCGGACACCAACGAGGTGCTGAACCTCCTTGAGACAATTGAGCGCGGTTTCCTGGATCCGGTGTCGGGAGCGGTGACAGACCCCCGCTCGGGAGAGGAAATCAATCTGGCTGAGGCCATGGAGCACCAGGTGCTGCTCCCGCCTCCCAAACGTGTGCCACTCCGAGAAGTGTTCGAAAAGAACATGTACGATCCGCGAACTGGCCGTGTCTCTGAGCCAGACACGCATGAGACGTTCACTGTCGAGCGCGCCATTAAGATCCGCCTGATTGATGTTTCGTGCACGATTGTGCGTGACGACCGCAAAAACCGTGTGCTTAGCTTCCCGCGTGCTCTTCGTGAGGGCATAATCAACGGAACAACGGGCGTGTATTGTCCAGACAAAACACGTCGCATGCCGTTGAATGAGGCGTTCAAAGAAGGGTTCATATCGGATGTTGAACTGCCGATGTCAATCAAAGACGCTATCCAGAAGGGCGTTTATGATGAGGACACTGGCCTATTCTTCGACCCGACGACGGGCGACTGGCTGACGCTGCTGGAAGCTGTCGATGAGCGTGGCATCCTGGACGAGAAGTCTGTGCTCGTGCGCGACACGATTCGCGGCTTCTGGAAGAACGTCGACATTCTGGAGGCGATGCGCCGTCGTCTTGTGGAACCCGACACCGCTCGCGTGAAGAACTTCGAGACCCACAGTGACTACTCGCTGCAGGAGGCGTTTGAAGTCGGGCTGGTCGTTGACAGTCGGCACTCGCTCTCCCTGCAGCAGGCCATCAAGGACGGTATGTACGATGATGAGACAGGCCGCTTCACTGACTCGGTCTCGGGATGGAAGGTGAGCCTCCACGATATCATCAAGCGCTTCATCATCAATCCAGGCCTGCCGTGCTACTTTGACACGGAGGAGGAGCGTCTGCTGAACCTCAACGAGACGTGTCGCGCAGGCATTATCGATCGCCGCCGAGGAACCTTCCGCCATCCCAAGACTGGCTACGACATCTCTCTGAGCGAGGCGCTTCGAAAGGGCTTCATCATTGACTTCGAGAAGCCGATGAGTCTCTACAACCTGGTGCACATGGGCTTCTATGACCCACAGACCGGTAAGATCGTGCAGCCGCGCACCGGTCGGAAGCTGACCCTGGAGGACGCTGTGAAACACCACCTGCTCGATCCTAAGCGTTCTCCGGTGAAACACGCCAAAACTGGCCGTTTCCTAAGCTTCACTGACGCCGTCAAGGATGAGCTTGTTGACGCAAAGAACGGCTGGTACGTAGTGCCAGGCACCCGCGAGAAGATCACCATGATCGAAGCCAAGAAGCTGCGGTATATCGTGCCTAGTGAGCGACCTTTGCGCATCAAGGACGCAATCAAATACCAGCTGTGTCATCTGGACTCCGGAAAGTTCTCTGACCCCAATACGGGTGACAATCTGGATCTTCATGACGGTATTCAGCGTGGGTTGCTCTGTGGAAAAACGACGAAGTTCAACGATACCGTCCAAGGCAAGCACAAGCGCCTGCTCACGGCGATCAAAGAGGGCAACATCCAGACCAACAAGGGCCGCGTAATTGACACCTTCACCAAGCGTGCTTACAACTACAGCGTGGCTTTCGACCGCGAGCTGCTGGTAACGGAAGATGTGTCACCCGAGGAGGTAGTCAATGTAGAGCACATCATGAAGCAGGAGGCGACGATGGCCTACTCAGCGCGACCCTCGGACCGCGAAAACCTCGTCAACTACAGCCTGGAGGAGGCGATCAAGGAGCTCATCATCAACCCGGAGACGGCCGTCGTGATGGATCCGACCACCAAGGAGCTGCGGCCGCTGAAGCAGGCCATCACGGACGGACTGATCGAGCCGAAACACCGCGCCATGATTGACATCAGCCCCGGTCGCCTGTCGCCGCAGTTGATTTTGTTTGAGGGGCGTACCATGCTGTACCTGCGTCCGCCAGTGGCCTTCCAAGAGGCTATCGACAACGGCTCCCTGAACGTGCAACACGCGCGCTACATCGAGCCTAGCTCGCGCCAGGCAGTCACATTGAAAAAGGCGTTCGACCTGGGTCTTCTGGATCCCAACACAGTTCTGCTGAAGGATACGAAGCGGGCGCGTCTGGTGCGTCTGCCGGCAGCCTTCGAGCAGGGTCTGATCGAAGAGGACAAGGGTATGGTGCTGGACACTACCACCGGCCACTTCCTGACACTGGAGCAAGCCATCAAGGAGGGAGTCATCGTAACGCCGCGCTACTGTTTCTCGGTGCTGGAGGCGCTCGACAGTGATCTGTACGACCTGGACCGGGAGCGGTTCGTTGATCCGTTCACGGACCGCCCCATCCCCCTGTCGGAGGCCATTGATCGCGGTCTGATCGACCCGACCACGGTGCTGGTGCGCGACCCGCTCACGGACCGGCTGCACCACCTGCTGGCCGCCATCGAGGAGGGCCTGGTGACGCCGAACGCCGGCGACGTCCGCCAGGTGGACCACTTCATCAACATCGTGGAGGCGCACCGGCTCGGCCTGCTGGTGCCGGCCGAGACCAGGGTAAGGGGCGCGCGGTGCCCGACGCCGCCCGCCCGACGGCCTGCCTTCGAGCGCCGCTTGGTCGCCGTCCTAACGCCGCCATCGCCGCCTTCGATACTAACCTGGTCCGTCGGTGCTGTGAAGCCACCCTGCCGCCAACCAGCGCGTCCCTGGGGAGCCGTAGAGGAAGCTTTAGTGGTGCACGGCTTGTTGGCTGACCACTGAGTGAAGCTTGCTTGACTCCTGCACTGGGGCAAGAAAATGTCCATAGTCAGGCCCTGTACTAACAGCCTAGCAGGCACCCCTGAAGACTAATGCATGACTGTAGCATCGTCACGCTTTAAGCTTAACGTGTTTGTGTTCTGACTGACGAGTTATGCGTGAGCCTAACCTCATAGAAGGCATGGACGTAGTTTCGTTATGCATGACAAGAGTTTTGTTTTGTGCGTCGTTCTGGATTGTTTTGACCGCTTGTGATAATGCATGAAACATAATGTGGTCTGATGTCATTGCATGGTGAAGGTAATGCTACTTTTGTGTAAATAGTAACGTTTTTTACTGCTCTTAATAATTGCATATGCATATTTTTATGAAATATGTACTAACTGCATGCCTTTTAAATAACTCTTCAATTGAAGCAGGACAATATGAGTCTGTTTTAGCGTTATATCCGGGCTGTACTGTTCAGTTAGGTGCGTTTGCGCGATGGTCTGTGTCCTTACTGTGTGTCAGTGTGTCGACGCACTGCAGCCGAGCCCTCAACCTGACCCTCGTTTGGTGCGGTGACTTACAGCAAGCGGTGATTGAGAAGTACCGCCACTGCGACGACTCGATCGCCAAGCTGCTGGACTGGGTGGAGCGGATGGAGCGGCGCGTGGCCAACCAGGAGCGTATTCAGGAGGATGTCTCCAACCTGCGCAACCAGATCAACGTGGTCAGGGTAAGGAACTAAAGAGGCGGACAGAGCAATAAACGGTACCGGACTGAGTACTGGTTCTAAACTAGTACAGCCACAGTCAGCGCTGATAACATTGTACAAATTGCACATTGAAGCATTTGAGCTATTTTTAAGTCGCAGTGTCCAATATGGATGCACCTTTGCGGATAAATATATTTATCATGAATTTATATGGAGGCGGCTAACAGCGTAATCGATCGAGTTGCTCTTTGCACCAGACCATGGTAAGTTATATCCCTTTAGCAGCAGTCGATTATCTGTGCCCCCTCCCTTCTCCTTGCCACAGGCCATCAAGGACGAGCTGAAGGACCAGCAGCGTCCGGTGTCGTCGGTGCTGGACCAAGTGCAGGACGTGACGGAGAAGGGCGGCGACGTCCTCTCCAAGGACGAGACCAAGCAGCTCGACAAGAACGCCAGGGAGCTGCGCCAGAGGTCGGTACCGGTGCCTGCTTCCTGACTGGTGGAGCTGCGTAATATGGAGGAGTCGGGGGGGGGGGGGGGGGCTGAGTGACAACGGAGGGTCCACATGGTCTCCGACCGAAGTATGACTCAGCGTCATTGCGGTTACATTTCAGTCGGATAGGTAACGATGTCAAGCTAGAGAAGAAAAAACGAACCTGGCGTTGACAAACGAACGTTGAACGCTTCAAATTGTTTATTTATTGCGTCAACATCATATTTTTATCGCATCTAGCTTTACCTACCAAACTATCGTCATTTGGATGCCACCGCTGTGCGTGTGACGATCAATGGAGGAGCTCGACCTGTATACCGTAGTTGATCTCTCGCCTCCCTGCTGCAGGTACGACACTGTTGTTGACCGCACGGAGCAGCTGCTGCGGCGTCTTACCTCGTGTCTGGACGAGCTCAGCAAGTACAGGACCGACCTGGTCACATTCCAGGTAGGTGTGACTCTGATGAGACCATCGGCTACCTGGGTTTGTCGGATTGTCTTGGTACTTACTACATGGTAATAATTTCATAACAATTATTGGTGATTCCTCATAAACTAAGTTTAAGGCTATCAGTCTCAGATTTGTTTGTTCTGGTTGTCATTGTTTACTGATGTCCCTCCTTCTCCCTCATCCAATGAGTGGCTCTCAGTATCGGGTTCTGAATGTTTTCCCGCCTTTCTCCTCCAGACCTGGCTATCGAGCGCGTCCCGCACTCTGGTGGACAAGGAGCGGCTGCTCTCCGACCTCAACAAGCTCAAAGCCAACGAGCAGACCTGCAAGGACTTCGTCAACGACGTGATCGCCCACCAGGCCGATCTGCGCTTCATCACTGTGGCAGCGCAGAAGTTCATTGACGAGTCCAAGGAATATCTGAAAACGCTCAATGAGTTCCGTACGTCGCTGCCACAGCGACTGGGCCACATCGAGCCCCACGAGTACCTAGTCAAACAGGAGGTCGCGGAGGTCACCCAGACCTTCCAGGACCTGCTGAGCCGTGCCAACAAGCTGGCCGACAAGCTCTCCAGCATCGGCAGCCGGCAGCGCGAGTACCAGGAGGCCCTGGAGCGTGCCGAGCGCTGGCTGCGAGAGGCCGAGCCCCGTGCCGAGAAGGTGGTCAACGAGCCGGTGGCTGCTGAGCCGCGCGGAGTTCAGGAGCAGCTGGACCGGGCGCGTACCCTCAGCACGGATGTCCTGGCGCAGGGTAAGCTGTTCGACAACGCCACACTGTCGGCCGCACAGCTGGTCAAGTCGCTCGAGGGCCAGATTGGTCCCAAGGAGAGTGAGCGCATCAGCCGACCGCCGGAGGAGCTGGCGGACAAGTACCGTCGCCTCTCGGACGCCGTCACCGACCGCTGCCAGGCGCTGGACATGGCTCTGGTGCAGTCCCAGGGCGTCCAGGACGGCCTCGACTCGCTGATGACCTGGCTGACGCAGGCCGAGACGCGGCTGAAGGGTATCCTGAAGCCGGCCAGTCTGAACCGGGAACGGCTGACCGAGCAGCTGCAGGAGCAGCGTGTTCTGCAGGCTGACATCGACCAGCACCAGGCCAGTGTGGAGCAGATCCAGCGCAGTGCGGAGGATCTCCTCCAGACGCCGTCCAACGCGCGCATCGCCAAAAAGATCGAACAGAAGCTCACGGACCTCACCACGCGCTTCTACAAGCTCAGGACCAAGTGTCACGAGCGCGGCGTGCTCCTGGACGAGGTTTCCTCTCAGCTGGATACCTTCTGGACCAAGACGGAGCGCCTCGATCAATGGTTCGTTGAGGTCTTCGAGCTGGTGGAATCCAACGAGACCAGCAAGCTGAACGTGGAGGCGTACACGGCCAAGGTGGACGAGATCTCCCGCCAGGCGGAGGCACAGCGCCCCGAGTACCAGGCTGTGGTGAACACGGGCCACGGACTGGTCACCAAGAAGGACGTCACCGACACTGCCATCACCAAGGAGAAGGTCAAGGTGAGTTACGCGCCAGAAATATGTTCAGTAGTCTCTTGCCTGAAATCACGGTACTTCCTAAAATACATTTTGACATTACTTGTTTTGTTCTGGTCATATTAATCAAAAACATGTTTTGCCAAGTAAAGTTCCATCGTTCGTTCTGAAGATCGTTAAGTGGCAACTGGCATGGCACTACGAGTACCAGGGATGCGGAGCCGGAGCCGGAGTCGGAGCCGGAGCCGCCGGAGCCGGCATATTTTGCCCGGAGCCGGAGCCGGAGCCGGAGCCGTGAAACAAAATAGCCCGGAGCCGGAGCCGGAGCCGGAGCCGCCAAAAAAGGGGGCGACTCCGGCTCCTTTTTATTTTTTGAAGAGGAAAAAAAATAATAATTGACCTAGTTCGGTTTGACAGTACAAGGCAGTAAAACATATGGTACTTACGTCATGGGCCATCAAGTGAATGAAAAAATCCGAATATCCCCAGTATCCCACAGTACGCAAACAACTTCCTGTTTGCTCTTCCCCCCCCCCCACGTCTACTGCATCCCCTGAACATGAGGACCAGTCATCAGGTGACGGCCATTGTTTTCAAACCAGTGCAGTGGACTGCGACTCCCAGCACCGTCTCATCCCACACACCCCCCACCCCTCACCCCCAATGCAGCCGAGACGGGTGTCAGCTTACGATGGTTCACTGAACTCCGATTCGCGGCGACTGCGTTTCCAATGCCATCGCTTCCTAGCCCTTTGTTCTGCCAGTTCTCTCCGAGGTGCGTTTGCGCGGGGACGCGGTGAGGCGGTCATGGCAAAGAGTAACGCGTATAACCAATCCAATTTTTCTTCCACCCGTATTTAATTGATTGCGTAGGGGATGTACTGAGTCGGAGCCGGAGCCGCCGGAGCCGGAGCCGCCGGAGCCGGACCATTTTACTCGGAGCCGGAGCCGGAGCCGGAGCCGCCATAACATTTCACCCGGAGCCGGAGCCGGAGCCGGAGCCGATTTTTTTCTCCGGAGCCGGAGCCGGAGCCGGAGCCGTCTGAAATTTCCACGGCTCCGCATCCCTGACGAGTACTTTTCATGCATGCATGTTTTAGAATTTTATCGTCTATCCGTAATCTAACACCGTCGCCTCTCGCCCGCGACTATTCTCAGGAGCTGGAGGGCCAGTGGGCCGAACTGCAGGAGCTGCTCGATGAGCGCCTGCGCGAGGGACGTACACGCTCCGACTCTCTCAGCGCCTACGAGCGACTGCGGGAGGATGTGCTGACGTGGCTGACACGAATGGAGAGCAGCATTGACTCGCTGCAGCCGGTGGCTGTTGATCAGGATCTGCTCAAGAAGCAGAGTGACGAGCTCAAGGTAGGTCCGCGCTGCCAGTTTGACCAATTGATGTCAGAGATGCCCCAGGGTTGGGGAAGCACGACTAAAGGGGATTCAGATGTAAAGGGAGGTAGTTTTGTGATGCACGAACTTTCTGGGATGTTACGAAACTGTGTGACGCTCGCTGCCTTTTACCTCCAGCCGTTGATACGCGAGCACACCAGCTACTTCACCACCATTGAGAAAGTGCACGAGCTGGGCACTCAGTACGACTCGCTGCTGCGCGGCCGTGGCGAGACGCCCGCCCGGCGACGCTCCTCCGTGACGCCGGCCAAGCGCGCCTCCGTGTCGCACGGTCGTCGGTCGGTGGCCAGCCCTCTGAGCTCAGGTAGGTGTCAGAGACGACTGGCGCTGTCTGGCTGGCTGTAATTGTGGTCGAGCCCTCCGCTAACGCTACTTATCCAGGGTCGAACATCCCAAACTACTGGGACGTAGTACGTTTGGCGTAGTGTTTTTAGTAGTGGGACGTTTGATTTTTGTTTTTGTTTTGCGTGAACCCCATTCTTGTTGCGTAGTGGGTTGTTTGCTAGTTGTCCTTCTGGTTTGTGAGTTGTCTCGTTGCTGTCCACCCCCTCTCCCGTCTACCCGGCCCTGCGGCTTGTGAGTCGTGCTTTGTCCGCTGTGGCGCCGCCCACCCCTAGCCCAGCTTTCGTTAATGTCTCGATACGCCGGCTTCCAGCACGTAAGGCGTCCTACGACCTTCGTGGCTCGTCTCCGGCTCGCAGCCCCTTCGTCACCGGCGATGGCTTCTTCAACATCGATGGTAGGTGTTGTTAGCCGTCCGCCTAGAGTGGCTTTCCTAAGCGTTGTCAATTAGCTCAGTGGGTCTGTCGCCGGCCTTTATTCTGAACTTGAATGGACATACTCTTGTAGTTATGACGTATAGTAACGGACATAGCGGTGTAACTGTTCAAACTTTTTTAGTTGTAAACAAAAATGTATGGCGCACAATTCTCCTCGCGGGTCACCGTTGATCGTGTTTTGATCATTGGGGCTAGTCGGTGGTGCTCCCGTCCAGCCATGTGACGCTATTTCTCCTGTCCCCCTCGTGTGCTGCAGACATGTCACCGATCCAGGCGCAGCTGACTGAGATCGACAACCGCTACCAGATGGCTGGTACGCGACTCACCGACCGTCAGGCCGACATTGAGAACGTCACCGACGAGGTGCGTCGCCACGCCGATACCCTCAAGAAGCTGCAACAGTTCCTCGATAAGTCTGAGGCCAAGCTGCCGCGCGACTCCGCCGTGCAGACTCGCGATGAGGCTGATAAGCAGCTGGGCGCGGTCCGTGCGCTGACTGAGGAGCTGTATGAGCGGCAGCCGTCCCTGGACGGACTGAGGACGCAGGCTGGAGAGCTGCTGCGCAGGAGACCTGGTGTTCCGGGCGCCGACCGGCTGCAGGATGACCTCACTGAGGTCGTCGATCGCTGGCGCCAGCTGCAGGACAACCTGAAGCGTCGTCAGAAGCAGCTGCAGGACAGCAGGCAGTTCTTCGACACGCACGACCAGCTCGCCTCCTGGCTCAAGGCCAAGGAGAAGATGCTGACGGTGCTGGGACCGCTGAGCTCGGATCCACGTCTGGTGCAGATGCAGAGTCAGCAGGTGGCCGTCCTGAGGGACGAGTTCGCCGGACAGTACCCGAACCTGCAGACTCTGAACAAGGTCGGCCAGAGCCTGGTGGACGAGGCCGAGCCTCAGACCGCCGACTCTGTGGACAAGAAGATGCGCCAGGTCAACGACAAGTGGGAGGAGCTCATCTCCCAGCTGGAGGAGCGCGAACAGACCCTGGATGCCGCCTCCGGCACCAGCCGGCGCTTCAACGACGAGCTGGGAAAGCTGCAGCGTGAACTGCAGAAGATCACTGACAACGTCGACGACCTCAGCGCGGAGAAGACCGAGCCGAGCCAGAAGCTGACCAAGCTCGACAAGATTCAGTACCAGGTGGAGGAGTTGAAACCTCGTCTCAGCGAGCTGGAGACTCTTGGAGACGAGCTCTGCAACGTCCTCACGGACGCCTCCGCCAAGGCTGAGGTCAAGGACAAGCTGTACCAACTGGGACGGCAGCAGACGCAGCTGCAGCGCAAGCTGGACAACCTCCGTGCCGAGCTGGAGAGTTCGCTGAAGGAGGACCGCGAGTTCGAGAACGACTGCGCTGGAGTCCAGGAATGGATCAAGGACTGCGTGGAGCAGCTGGGTCGCCCGCTCAAGGTCTCTGCTGACGAGCAGAAGCTGGCCAGACAGGTGGAGGACTACGAGCCCGTCTACAAGAACGTGATGGCTCGTGAACACGAGGTCTTCCTTGTCCAAAAGAAGGGCAAGGACCTGATCGCCAAAACGACCAACAAGCAGGAGGCCAAGAACCTGGAGAAGTTCCTGGAACGCCTGCAGAAGGACTGGGAGAACCTGAAGAAGGACGCAGTGAACCGTCAGACTCGTCTGCGCACGTGCACTGACCACTGCCGCAAGTACCACTCGACGCTCGAGAGGTTCGTGCCTTGGCTAGACTCCAGCGAGATCCGTCTGGAGCGGCTGCAGCCCATCAGCTTCCATCGCTCTGAGATCCAGAAGCAGCTGCGCGAGATCCAGGCGTTCAAGAACGAGGTATCGCTTCGCTCTGGCGAGCACGAGCAGACCCAGTCGACTGGCGAGACTCTGCTCTCTGCCACTGACACCGACAAGGAGGGTGTGCAGGCTGATCTGACCGACCTCCGTCGCCGGTGGGACGCCCTGCAGCGCGCCGTCGCTCAGCGCCAGGCAAACCTCGACGACGTGCTGACCAAGGTGACCGACTTCACCGACCGACTGCGTGATGTGGACCGTTCGCTGCAGCGTGCCGAGGACAAACTGGCCTCGCACGACGCGCTGGGCGGCGGCCGCGACCCACGTCTGCTGGAGCGCGTGGCTGACATGGTCCGCGAGGCAGAACAGCTAGCCCACCAGCTGGACAAGGTACGCAACCAGGCGGACGACCTCTGCGACGAGGCGCGTCACGTCGGCTCCGACGCCTCCCACATCAAGGATGAGGTGGATCGCGTCGGAGACCGCCTCAACAACCTCCAGGCTAAGCTGGACGACCGGCATGGTGACCTGAAGAGCGCCTCCCACGCCGTTGGCGAGGTGAACGACCGCATCAAGGAGCTTCACTCTCAGCTGGGAGCTCTGGAAGAGGAGCTGGACGGTATGGCTCCGGTGGCGCGTGAGGTGAAGATCGTGGAGCGCCAGGTGACTGAAATCACCATCTTCCTGGAGAAGGTGGTCCGTGAAAAGACGGAGCTGGTTGATGCTGAGCGCACCGTGGATGGACTCGTACAGGAGGTGAGTGGCCGTTGGGAATTGCTTCCTTACTTGTAGTGACTGTAGAAGGCGCTCCTCGATCAGAGTAGTTGCCAGCAGAGTGTTATTAAACTATTTGAAACCACAAGAAGTTTCTTCTATATGATTTACTTAGCCTTGTGAACATGTAACGAAAGTTGGTTACTGCAGTACAACAACACTATCAGTCATGAAGATGGACGATTCGTTCTCACCTCAATCCTCGTCTCCCCGCAGGGCTTTACCACGGACGCCAAGACGCTGCGTGACCAGCTGGGCAGCATGAAGCGGCAGTTGTCGCGCATCGAGGACCGCGGCCAGGCGCGCGAACAGGAGGTGCAGCTGGTGCTGACCAAGCTGACCACCTTCTACCGCACGTATGAGGTGGTTGTGGGCGAGATCGAGCAGGTGTCGGCGGACGAGGCGGCCCTCTCCCCGCCTGCCACCGACGTGGCCACCATCCGCCGCCAGCAGCAGGAGTTCCGCGAGTTCAAAACCACCCGCGTCGAGACGCTGTCGGTGCGAGTGGATGAGATCAACAAGACGGGACAGGGTCTGGTGCAGACGGCCGCTGCGGGCGTCAAGACCGCCCTCCTTGAGGGAGATCTGGAGAAGATGAACGACCTCTGGAACGAGCTGAAGGAGCGCGTAAGTGTCACTGGGAAAGGGTCTTTGGGGAGGGTTTTACAGTTTCTGACAGTTTCATGTTTCATGGTTTCACTTTCAAATGTATTTGCCTCACTCGCCTCGACGTTTTGCTCAATCGTTGAGTTAGTTTGGCTATATCTTCCAAAATGTTCGCTATACAATACAAGAACTGTTGTCCATGTTGCCTGCTAAGGTGCAGGAGCTACGATTATGCACTTGACAATGCCATTGTAGAGCCCTCTTAATTAACTCGACTTTTCCTCACCCACAGATGCACAACCGGGAGCGTGCACTGGACGTCGGTCTGCTGCAGTCCGGCAAGTTCCGCGAGGCCCTGGAGGGTCTCCTCCAGTGGCTGGCCGACACCGAGGACCTCGTGGCCAACCAGCGGCCTCCCAGCGCCGACTACAAGGTGGTCAAGGCTCAGGTGCAGGAGCAGCGCTTCCTGCAGAAACTGCTGCTCGACCGACAGGGCTCCGTCAGCTCGCTCTCCGATATGGGCAGGGAGATGGCCAAGAAGTGCTCGCCGGCCGAGAAGGCAGATATCGAGGAGCAGCTCAGGGAACTGATTCGCCGGTTCGACGCGCTGAATGATCAGGCGGCTGACCGGATGGGACGACTCGAGGATGCCATGAAGGTACGTTCAGGGCCGCCATCGTCGTGGAGCGGGAGGGAAGGTCGCATCTTGTTTGAACGATACCTAGTCATTGCTGGCTGCTTTTTGGGTGACTGGTTTGTAACTTATTGCGTAGCTAGTAGCTACATGAAGGTCAACGGTAGCGATGCGGCACCAGTGTTTGTTGCTTGTCGAACTTTTATTGAGCTTGATGGTTGTCTTGCCTCAGGTGGCCAAGGAGTACCAGGACGCCAACAACCCGCTGGTGCAGTGGCTAGAGAAGATGCAGCGGAAGCTGAAGGACATGGAGACCATTCCCACCGACGAGGAAAAGATTCAGCGCAAGATCCAGGAGCACGACGTGAGTCCCGCAATGGCTACTTCGGACCTTTCATACAGTCACATTGAGCTAGAGGCAACATGTAGGAATCGGGTGGGACGAGATGATTTATTCTACAGTCAGGGTTCAACTCCTACATTGATATTCCTCGGGATACTTATATCAACTCGCATGCTCCCACGTTTATAGTGAATTGAATGATCTGTGATAGTTAAGTGTCTCCCAAAGCTAAATCAGACTTCGGAATCGCACAATGTTCCTTGTGACTTTCTTTTTTCTGTAACCTTGCCGCCTCTGACCGCATTTCCGTGCTCTCCAGGAGCTGCACGCCGAGATCGTGGACCGGCGCGGCGCGTTCGACGACCTGAAGCGGGTCGGCAAGAAGCTGGCCGGTCTCGTCGGCGACGAGGAGGCTACCGCGCTGTCTGAACGCCTGCGAGACGTCACTGATCAGTACGAACGGCTGGTGGACGACAGCGAGACACTGGCGCGTCTGCTGCGCCAGGCGGGCACCCAGCTGCGCTCGCTGGTGCTCAACTATGAGGACTTCCTGGCGTGGATGGATGAGACCCAGCAGAAGCTGAACAAGTACAAGGTGCTCTCTGTACACGTGGACAAGCTGCACGAGCAGCTGGAGGAGCTGACGGTGAGTCCCGGCTCTCGGGGAGGGCGTGGGAGGGTGTATATAACCTCTGCATCTGAAGCACGGCACCCATGTGTGGTTCACGCACTGTATAATGTATATAAATGCCTCAGGATTCCCAGCATGTTGGTGTTTTGCATTTTGACTACTTACTCTGTGTACACCTTCGCTTCCCCTATCTTCTCACTTGATTTCTGCCCTGACCCTGGCTGTAACATGAGCTGAAAGCCGTCTTCCAACCCCCTATTCCACTGCATATCTAATGTTCACTGCCCCTTCTCACTGCCTGACGCCTGATGCACCTAACTTTTGCCTTCTCATATCTCGCCACGTGTGACTTGGCACGGAATGCAAAGCACATTGCACAGGTTGTGTTTCACTGTGTGCAGTGTATTGTATATATGCGTGACTGCACGATGCATGTGGTGGCGACGGGCGCTGGGCGGAGAGGCCTGGGTGGCGCCCGGTGTGGTGACGATCTGCCTCACCCTCTCTTGGACAGTGGCTCCACACCACCATAGATGTGCATCAGTTCGAGCTGCTTCGACTGAAAGAGGCTGCCGAGGTACTGGGATTGGCATCGGGACTGCCGGCGGCTGGTGTGGCGTCGGGAGTGGGACCAGCCTTCCCTCGCTCCCTGTACAAACGAACCCGGCCTGCTCCGGTTGCCACATTGTTTACTGAGCGCCAACTCTGCATGCACCACCGCTCGCCGCAATCGTGCTTCATGACATTAGTTTTGACGTTTTAACATTATTTTACTATGCCTAACACGCTGAGAACTTCAAGACACTTTTTATGGAGACTCTCGAGTGGCAACATCATTATGGTTTAAAATTTTGCAATTATGTTTCTATTCGTGTAAGAACGTTAAAAAAAAATCATCTGACTCTGGTAGTTGGTTCAGCTGGCTGTTAAATGTGCCGTCTCTGTGCCGCCTCGGGGCTCGGAGGCTCCCCTTGACCTGTACTCTCTGACCTGTCAGGAGCTGAGTGAGGACGTAGACCGCCACCGTGAGCCGGAGCGGGAGCTGCAGGACATTGGCGCAGAGCTGATGAAGCACATCTCCAGCGACGAGGCCCTCCAGCTCAAGGACAAGCTGGACTCGGTGTCTCACCGCTACCAGGACCTGGAGAGCAAGGTGAGTTATTGCTCGGCTTGGGCTGGCGAAATAAGTATTCACATATTTTGGGGACTTTGTAACAAAGTCCATTGCTTTAAATAGTTAACGAGTTCAGAAGTAATCGAAACTCGTTCTAGTTCAGAAGTTACATCATCTGATGGATGCAAAAGTGTGATTATTATTACATTGCAGCCTCAATCTATTCTCTGTTGACGATTGTTCTCTCATCACAAAATGTACTGAAGTAATGAGGCTGTTAATAAAGGTTGTAGAAAGAACGATGATCTTTACTTGCAGTGCAGATTCAACAACATTGTTTACTGTCACGGTAGGTGTCGTATTGTGACGCGAACACATATTATGCTCAACGGCCCAACATACATGAAAAACCCAAAAAGCCCACTTAAAACCCGAATAAAACCCACTACCCAGTGGGTTTTAATGAAAAACCCGGGTTTTTTCCAACCCTGACTTTGTTCAGTCTCGTATCTCCTATGGATTGGTCGGGCCGCATAATGTCAGTATAGAAGGCGAAAATGCCCTGCTACTACTGAACCACAGCGCTCAGTGTTCTAAAAGACAGTGACGTGCCTTATGGCGTGGCGACCTGACGAACCTTCCACCCCTCTCCCCTACAGGCGAGCTCGCTGCTGAAGAGTGCCCAGGAGGTGTTGCCGCTTGTGCACGCCTTCCACAAGGCGCACAACGAGCTCACCGAGTGGCTGGTGTCGGCCGAGCAGACCCTGCAGACGGTCGACTCGCAGCATAACGCCGAACAGCTCATGGAGACACTCGAGAAGGAGGTGGGTAGAACTCCGGCCAAATACACGGCGTTCAGAATAACATGTCGCTCTATTTTGTTGAACCTCAATCCAACCGATAATAGGGGCGCTCTCTGAGCATTAACTACATCGCTGGGACGGATTGTCTGTATTTATTCATCACTTCCGAACTTACCATGTGGTCAGTGGATCTGCGCTCCTTTGGTCTAGGATAAGTCCAGATGATGACGTTTCGCCTCACCATCGCCTGACGTTTTCGCCTTTTGTGTCATCGCCAGGTGTCGCAGCACCGCGGTCTGCTGGACCAGGTGAACCAGGCCGGCCCGCAGCTCAGTCAGATCTCTCCCGGTGACGGCGCGCAGACCATCGAGTCGCTCGTCACGCGCGATAACCGGCGCTTCGAGGCGATCGCCGAGCAGGTGCAGCGTAAAGCGGAGCGTCTGCGCCAGGCCCGCCAGCGACACGGCGAGGTGGTGCTCGACATCGACGAACTGCTCGACTGGTTCAAACAGGTACGTCAGGTCGCCGCGCGAAGACCCGCGCCGTGTGGTTGCGTGTTTTGTTGGCTGCTCGCTGTGAGAATATGTTTATAATAAGAGATGTTTATTATTGTTTGCTTGAAATCGTGGATATGATTGTGACTTTGTGGCATTGCTGTGCTCGTTCGTGACTGTGTATGTGATTGTGACTCTATGTTTGTACCCAGGTGGAGAAGCAGCTGCGCACTGCCGAACTCCCTGGCTCCGAGCCGGCGGCCATCCGCGAACAGCTCAAGGAGGCACGTGCGCTCAGTGACGACATCAGCGGACAGAAGGGCCGCGTGCGAGATGTGCTCAGCGCCGCTAAGAAGCTGGTGCGCGACGCCGCTCAGTACGACGACGTGAGCGAGATTCGCGAGAAGGCCGACCAGCTCCGTGATACGTCCGATACGGTGAGTTGGAGTGGATATGCGCTTTGAGGATGATGCGGAATCCGTCGGGCTATTTCTTGTGAGGATAGCCTACACTTGTTGGTGATATTGAAAAGAATTGTCGCCTTTATTCGTCCTGAAGATAATTTCTTCGTATGACTTCTTACTGTGTTTCTGGCGGTCGATGGTTCTGTCGTGCGCTGCGTCTCTGGCTGATCTGATCTATTCGTTCTTCCTCTCGCTAGGTGAGCAAGCTGTCCGCCGACCGGGTCAGTGTTCTGGAGCAGGCGCTGCCGCTTGCTGAGCACTTCAACGAGTCGCACAGCGAGCTGAGCGAATGGCTGGACGAGGCCGAGAACGAGGCGATGCGGCTGGACGTGCCGGCTCTGCGGCCCGACCAGATCCTCCGCCAGCAGGACAAGAACAAGACCCTACTGCAGAGCGTCACCGAGCGCAAGCCGCTGCTGGACAAGCTGAACAAGACGGGCGCCGCGCTGGCCAGGCTGGTGACCGATGAGGACAGCAGCAAGGTGAGAGTTGTGGGAGGATCGCGCTACCTCGGATTACAGACTATTTCCCTGAGAAATGTAGCGTAAGGATGACTTAATTTTCGGACCGTGCTATTGACTTAACGTCTTAGTAGGACTGTGATAACCGAACCCTCGAGTCTGACCCGATACCGTGCTTGCCCCCAGGTATCCGACCTCATGGAGACGGACAACGTGCGCTACAATGCCCTTCGCACGGCGCTGCGTGAGCGTCAACAGGCGCTGGAGGAGGCGCTGCAGGAGTGCTCCCAGTTCGCCGACAAGCTGGACGGCATGCTGTCGGCGCTGAAGGACACGGCTGACCAGGTGGACCGTGCTGAGCCCATTTCGGCCCACCCGGACCGCATTCACGACCAGATGGCCGAGAACAACGCCATCATCGACGACCTCGAGAAGCGCGCCTCGGCCTTCGACGCCGTCAAAAAGGCGGCGGCTGATGTCATCGGAAAGGCCGGCAAGGGCGACCCGGCTGTCAAAGGTGGGTGTGATCGGGTGGGGGGGGGGAGGGCATGTCATCTCCGTCGAGAGTAGGTGTCAAAGACTGATCGGAGAGGTTGATGGGTCGGCGCACCTCGTCGGTCACTAGCTAGCACTAGCTAGCACTAGCTAGCTAGCTAGCACTAGCGAGAGGTCACTAGCTAGCAATAGTTTTTATGTATGCCCTTAGATAATCAATAACGATATTTCGGTGTTAATTGGAGGTCACGCTGCTTTATGCTCTTCCCGATGCCGGACTTAGTCTGATGATTGTTTCTGGCTATCCACAGACATCAAGAAGAAGCTGGACAGCCTGAACACCCTGTGGGACCACCTGCAGTCGGCTACCAACGACCGCGGCCGCTCTCTGGACGAGGCGTTGGCCATCTCGGAGAAGTTCTGGTCCGAGCTGCAGGGCGTGATGCGCGCCCTGAAAGAGCTCCAGGAGACGCTCTCCAGCCAGGAGCCGCCGGCCATCGAGCCGTCGGCCATCAAGGAGCAGCAGAAGGAGCTCCAGGAGATCCGCCAGGAGCTGGATCAGGCCAAGCCCGAGGTGGACCAGGTGCGTCGCACCGGCCACGACCTGATGAAGGTCTGCGGCGAGCCCGAGAAACCGGACGTCAAGAAGAACCTGGCTGACCTGGACTCTGCCTGGGATAACATTACGGCCCTGTACGCCCGCCGCGAGGAGAACCTCATTGACGCCATGGAGAAGGCCATGGCATTCCACGAGACGATGCAGAGTCTGATGGAGTTCCTCGAGGATGCCGAGGACCGCCTGGGCTACCTGGGACCGGTCGGATCCGACATCGACGCCATCAAGAAGCAGATCAAACAGCTGATGGACTTCAAGAACGACGTCGACCCGCAGATGGTCAAGGTCGAGTCGCTCAACAGGTAAGCAGTTCAACTTACAGCTGGTGTAAATGTGAATATGTGCTTGGCGGGTGTACAGTGAAATTTGTGCAAAGTCCCACTCTATAGTTCTCTTTGCTAAGTGGCCCTGTTTACCTGAATGCTTTAGATGTATGGTACTCGTGTCATGCTCTATTTTTCACTTGTGCATTGTCAAATTCTACTTCATCTCTCCCCGTAGTTATTGAACTCTATCTCTCCATCTGAATGGTAGTTGATCCATGATTCTAACCTCTGGGCTCTGTTTTCTACTCCGGTTCTTGGGATCAGGAGCATCCGGAGGCAAGTTGCGCTCGCTGCTTTAGTGTGCCTGAGTGTTTGAGTGCGCTGTCTTGGTAGCGATTTTAGCCACGAGACCGCCGTAGTTGCAGCATGCCTTTGAGTTTGGTCACGAGCGTCTCCCTTGTAGGAAAACACCGAGATTACTATACCGATAACACTGGGCAAACCCCATTTCCCACTTCGGTTTCTAGCCCCAATTCACTTCTTACCTTTGTGTGCATTTTCATTTTTTCATGGTAATGATGTTTTTCCAACGCTGATGATTATGCTTTCTTACTTTTTTCGTTTTCACCAAACAACAAAGCTGCGTTGTAGCACCGCTACTTCATTTTGATTTCGGGGTTCAGCATTTCACTTAATGTTGAAGTTTGAGCTGCGGTGACACCGGGCTAGAAGTCGCCTATGACGGGTATTTCACTGGTAGCGGTGGCTGGGTGCGTGAGTTACGCCTCTTGGAAATATCTCGGAGCTCTTGTGACAGCTTAGCCCAAATGAACTTACACTTCTGTTTTTTATGCCTCAGACCTTCTGCTCCCTGTTGCGTGAGTCCGTGACGTTTGTGCCAATTGGCCACTGACCTCTGCTGTCCGTCGTTCGCAGGCAAGCTCAGGAGCTGATGGAGCGTACGTCGCCGGACCAGGCGGCCGCCCTGCAGCAACCCCTGGCCGACATCAACACCCGCTGGGACGACCTGCTCAAGGGTATCGTGGAGCGTCAGCGCGAGCTGGACCACGCCCTGCTGCGACTCGGCCAGTTCCAGCACGCGCTGGACGAGCTGCTGGTCTGGATCGGACGCACCGACAAGACGCTGGACGGCCTGCGTCCGGTGTTTGGGGACCCGCAGGTGATCGAGGTCGAGCTGGCCAAGCTGAAGGTGTCGGTGAACGACATCCAGGCGCACCAGACGTCCGTGGACACCCTGAACGACGCCGGCAGGCAGCTGATCGAGACGGACAGCGAGTCTGCAGACGCCAGCACCACCAACCGCAAGCTGCGACAGCTCAACGAGCGGTGGTCCGAGCTCCAGGAGAAGGCGGGCGGCAAGCAGCGTGACCTCGAGGCTGCGCTCAAGGATGCCCAGGACTTCATGACCGAGATCCAGGACCTGCTGTTCTGGCTGAACGATCTGGATGGCGCGCTGACCACCAGCAAGCCGGTCGGAGGTCTGCCGGAGACGGCCAAGGAGCAGCTGGAGAGGTTCATGGAGCTCTTCGCCGAACTGGAGGAAAACCGCTCAAAGGTTGACTCTGCGCTGACGCGTGGCGATGCCTACCTCAAGAAGTCCAAGGAGGGTGCCTGCACCAACCTAAAGCACAACCTGAAGACGCTGAAGCAGCGTTGGGAACACGTGATGAACCGGGCCAACGACAAGAAGATCAAGCTGGAGATCGCGCTGAAGGAGGCCACCGAGTTCCAGGAAGCACTCCAGGAGTTCGTGGACTGGCTGACCAACGCCGAGGGTGTGCTGACCAACCTCAAACCGGCCTCTCGTGTCATGGACAACATCGTTGTCCAGATCGACGAGCACAAGGACTTCCAGAAGGAGGTGAGCGCTCACCGCGAGACCATGCTCAACCTGGAGAAGAAGGGCACCCAGCTCAAGTACTTCTCGCAGAAGCAGGACGTCATCCTCATCAAGAACATGCTGTCGTCAGTGCAGCATCGCTGGGAGCGTGTCGTCTCCAAGTCTGCGGAGCGGACGCGTGCGCTGGATCTTGGTTACAAGGAGGCCAAGGAGTTCCACGACTCTTGGTCCGAGCTGTGCGGCTGGTTGGAGGAGGCTCTCTTCTCTCTGGAAGAGGCGGAGGCATCTCTCAGCAACTCGCCGGACAAGATCCGCGCGCTGCTGGACAAGCACAAGGAGTTCCAGCGCGCCCTCGGCGGCAAGCAGTCTGCGTACGACCAGGTGATGAAGCTGGGCCGTCTGCTGGTCAAGGAGAAGGCGCCCAAGGAGGAGGAGCCCATCCTCCGCGGTATGATGGACGAGCTCAAGGACAAGTGGAACACGTGCTGCAACAAGTCCGTGGAGCGTCAGCGTAAGCTGGAGGAGGCTCTGCTCTTCAGCGGCCAGTTCAAGGAGGCCATCACGGCTCTGCTGGACTGGCTGAGGAAGGTGGACGCCCAGCTGGACGAGAAGGCGCCTGTGCACGGAGACCTGGACACGGTGACCAACCTGGTGGAGCAGCACCGCACTCTCGAGGAGGAGCTGGCGGGACGCGCTCAGCAGGTCGAGTCCATCCAGAAGACCGGCCAGGAGCTGCTCGAGTCGGCCGACAAGAAGGACGCGGCCGTCATCAAGACTCAGGTGACCGAGCTGACCACCACCTGGACGTCAGTGATCCGCGCGTCGGACGGCCGCAGTCAGCGGCTGCAGCAGGCGCTGGCCGATGCCGAGACGCTGCACCGCGACGTACACGGTCTGCTGGAGTACCTGAGCGACACGGAGCAGAAGCTGCGCTTCGTGGGCGCGCTGCCAGCCACCGAGGAGGAGGCTCAGCAGCAGGCGGACGAGCACGGCCGACTGATGGACGAACTGCACCGCCGAGAGGGCGATAAGGACGCCACGCTCCGGCTGGCCGCCCAGATCCTCGAGAAGGCCCATCCGGACGCCGTACCGGTCATCAAGCACTGGCAGACCATCATCGAGTCGCGCTGGGAGGAAGTGAGCAGCTGGGCGCTGCAGCGGCAGCAGCGTCTCGCCGAGCACCTGGCCAGTCTCAAGGACCTGCAGGAGCTCCTCGACGAACTACTGCGCTGGGTGCGCCAGCGAGAGAACAAGATGATCGAGCTGGAGCCGGTGCCGCTGCCGGAGGAGCGTCCCGAGATCGAGGTGCTCATTCAGGAGCACCAGGAGTTCATGGAGGACCTGCAGTCTCGGCAGCCGGATGTCGATGCCATCTGCAAACCCAAGCACAAGGGTCTGCGCAAGGGATCACGCGCCAAGAGGTGAGTTGGTTTGAGGGAAAGGCTCGGTCGCGCACGGCATGCCCTTGCCTGTGTGTATGTGATGTTTGTGTGTCTCCAATTACTGAACACGCACGTAATTTGACCCTATGACGACGTCATAACACAGGTCGGTGTTCGTGGCAACCCTTGACCGAACTCCCTCATTGTCGCACGTTACTGGAGCTAATTTTGTGTTCGTTTTGTATATGTTTGGCGTGTGAGAGGAGGAGACCCAGAGGCGACAGTTGTTTGAGTGTGTGCCATTCTCGCCTTTTTCAGTCCGTCGCCGACTCGACCCCTGCAGAATATCGTTCGCCGCCTCAGGTGCCGATCCGTAGTGTGTAACCCTAACCCGACAGTATCAGTGTCGTTTGCTCGCCTCTAACCGTCTCTGACTGACCGCTCGTAGCCTGTCTGTGGCCGCCCGCTGGGCGGGCCTCTCTGTAGTTTGTGGTGTAGGTGGTTGATGACGCACGCCGCTCTTTTTCTCTGATCTCCCTCATTATATTTCCATCTCTCACGTCCCATCTGACACCTCCCTCTACCACGTGACTCTGTGATCCTATCCTTGGTTTTTTTCCACAGCTGACCTGGACAAAATATCCTTCCTAGCCACTCCGTTTCCTCGGCTAAACTCAGTGATTGCACCGCTACAGAAGACGTCCTAAAATCCTTTCCCGTGAGTCATTTTCAACGTTTCTGCAGCTCATCTTCGTACGAATCAGTTCCAACGTGCCCTGTGATGTCTTTCTCAATGTAGCTTAGTTCTATTAGTTTAGTTCTATCTAGATTCGGTAACATTATTTTGTTTGTTTTTCGACATTTCTCCGTCTATGGAAATCGCTTATTTACCATAACAAAAGTAGAAGACTGCGTTTCTTTTTTCTCGTAGTAGTTTTTAACCACCTGAGTAGATCATTTGTAACCCCGATTTTTACATTTACCGTTTTATTTTTGCATTTTGTGCTACATTTTTTCATGTTCTTCATTTTGTGTTTCATGTTTTAAATTCATTTTGCGATGTTTTACTTTTTTAGCCCTTATTCTTTTTCAAGCAGTGCGTAGAGTTTTACATAATGTAGCGGTGTCACTTGTGTTCAGCTTCCTTGACATTTTTGTTGCACTGATTCCGTTGTGGCTTACCCCATTTACTACATAGCTCAAGTACGGCTGTATGGCCTGCCCAGTCAGTGTTAGCTGTAGATTGCACTACAGTCTGTCAGTAGTTTCCCTGTGGCTGTATGTCATACCGCACCATACTGAATGTACCCCCGGGTTGTTTTACAGCCAGTTCAGCCCTGACCGCGAGGGATCGCCCGGCAAGAAGAGGTGAGTGTCTCGTCAACCACCGGTGACCATTGGTGGTGGTCGCTGACCGATGGTGGTGGTTATGCTTGGTGATGGTGATTGGTGACTGGTGTTGGTGGGCTGCTTCTCTCTCGACACCGCGGTGATGGTTTTCTCTCCATTTCTTTCTGCTCTTCTTGTGGTCGGCCGTCTGTGGCCTCTCCATTCGTTTCTCGCGGATCGCTCCTCGATACCAGATACTAGGTACTCGGTACAGCTTACTAATTACTCGGTACTCGTTACCACGTACTCAGGGTACGCTGTGCGTCTTCTGTAATATATACGGCCGACTCGGGACGGCTCGGTAAATGGCACTTTCAGTGTCGCCGTTACTGTACTTACAGGGACTGACTGCGCCAGGTCAGCCCCACTAACCTCCTTGGGTTCGCTATGGATTCCGTCCAGCTCGGAAGGAAAACGGTTTGAACTCCTACTGATGCATAACATGGCTACTAATGCTGAGCTAATGTGACGATCGATGGGACGGCGCCGACGGCCCCGGTCACGAAGTCCTCTCTCTCTCTTTCTGGTCGTTCCTCGGGTGTTCATTCAGTCTCGCAAACCGGATCCATGCTTTTCTTCGGCGGTGTAACATAACAAGGATCTGGCTGATCCCGCTACTATCGGACTAAACACGGCAACGCTGAACAGTGCGCTAACACTTAACAAACAGATAACAAGTGGTGGATGACAAACATTAACATTTTGTTTTGCTTTTACATTTGGTGTGCAAAATTTGTTTTTGACACGACTTATGTCGTTCATTTAGTATTTTTGTTCATTTCGACGTCATTGTCCATTTCATTTGTACGCTAATGCATTTTGATTTCTTTCATTTGACGAACAGAGGATTTTTCCGTAGTCGTTATTGTCCTGCTCGTTCGGCCGTGTGCCGCTGTGATAGCCTCCGTAGTCCCCCTAGCCTAGCTCCGGGGTCGGCGCACGCACCCGCCCACACGCACTGACACGGCACCCCCGCTCCTGCTCTGCGTCTGTCCCTGCAGCCAAGGCAGCCCGGAGCGCGATATCTCGCCCACACGCGACTATGACAAGCCTTGGCTCACCAACGCCAGGTAGTAGCTAGCGCAGATCGCCGGTCGCGACGGCTTCGCGGCGAAGTGGCAGCTCAGTCGGCAGCAGGCGGTCTTCTTGGCAATTTTGCTGGTGTAATGGCTGACACACAGTCGGTTTGATAATATAGAAATTGCTTGGCCCGCGCCTCTGCGAGCTCGTAGTGAGCTTAACCACCTGCCGCCCACTGAGCTGCTACACAGTACGCACAAATCAGCCGCCAAATCACCACGTAGTGTAGTTGGCTTTTATTTCGTTGTGTGGTTATCCTAATTTACGTAGTTGGCTTAGTTATGTTACGTTATTTTGCAAGTAGCACTATTTTTAACTTGTTTAGTATCTGATAAAACAGATGAGAATTAAAGTTGTTAAAGCGCGTCCATTCGTAAATCATCTATAGTGAGCTGTTTTCGCGAGAGATCTGGAAGTGAATTTCAGACTGCATTCGTCTTCCAATCGATTCGTTGCTTTGGCATGAGACTCGTCTGGCCTGTTGGGTCGGGGAGGGCGTTTGTCTGTCTGCCTGGGGCACCCCGGGGGCTGCACGTACCACCCTCGCTGACGCATGCCCCTGCTCTGCTGTGGCGCCGTGTCCAGGGCCAGTCCGGAGCGCTCCTCGGACCACCCATGGCCGCGCATCGGACCCGTGTTCCACCACGAGGGATCGCCGGCGCCGGGCGGACGAAAGTCCAGGTAGGTAGTCAGCGCCAGGGCGGCGGTCAGTCGCATGGCTGGTCGATGGTCGGCTGTTGAGGCTGGCGTTGGTCTGAAGGTTCAGATTGGGCAGTAAGCCATCCAAGGGACGGAGTGGATCTCTACCATTTGGGTCGTCCGGTGGAGACGGCCGGTCGGTTGGCAGGTGCATCGAGAATGGCCTCTGCCGTCTACACATTCTCGTCGGAGTAGCTATATGTGTCGGTCTTGTCCTCCGGTGTGCCTGTTGACTGTGGTTCTATGTGTGCTGCCGTGTTGTTACGGGTTGCAACGAGTGTGAGCTTGCTTACTGTCATTTTTCGAGCAGTTTGGTTGGATTGCGATAATTTATCAACTACATATCTTTCATTTCACCTTTTATCACCTCCTGATTTGTTGAATCACTTACTTGCTGTTTACTGTTCCAATATAATTTTTGGTTAATTGATGTTTTATTTCAACATATTCTGAATGACCCATCGGAATGGCCCGTGGCCTACATTAAGTCTACATGTAGGTATCATTGCGCAGTTAAATTGCTGATAACTGACATCGCACGCGATATTATGCTCGAACTACTGTTCCGATAACCCGCCCAGTGTGTCCAGTGTGTCTGACGGAGTGGTACCGTGCCGACAGCCGCGCCATGAGCGAGCCGGTGCTGAAGACGCCCCGGCAGCGCGAGCTCTGGGACGCCTGGCGCAACACGTGGCTCATGGCCTGGGAGCGCCAGCGTCGCCTCCAGGACAAGTACAACTACAGCCAGGAGATGGAGAAACTGCAGGACTTTGACTTCGAGGAGTGGCGCAAGAGGGTGAGTGGCATTTTTTTTTTTTTGCCAGCGCTGTCTGTAGAGCAGCTCTTTTTGACTTCGATGATTGTCAATATGATTTACTGTGTGCTGGAACAACCCGAAAGCCGCGACGAGCCTTATGTTTCTGTTTCTCTGCCTGAACTCAACTCTGTGCCGGTCTTAAGAACGTTTGTCTCCCTCTGCCACAGTTCATGAAGTACGCCAACGTCAAGAAGATGCGTATCACGGACCTGTTCCGCAAAATGGACACTGATAACGACACATTCCTGGGCAAGGACGAATTCATCGACGGCATGACCAAGACCAACTTCCCGACAACAACCATGGAGCTGCAAATCGCTGCCAACTGTATCGACAAGAACCAGGACGGTCTGATCGATTACAACGAGTTCATGGCGGCTCTTCGGCCCGACTGGGAGAAGAACCGGCCGCTCACAGAAGGCGAAAAGATCGACGACGAGGTCAAAAAGATCTGCGCCACCTGCGCGTGCCGAACCAAGTTCAAGGTCTTCCAAGTCGGCGAGGGCAAATACCGGGTGAGTGGAGATTACTAATGCGGTTTGAAAATGACGTCTACCTGTCGGTACGCCAGGCTTTTAGAATGTTTTAGTGACTGTCTATGTAAACACTTAACTCCCAATCGTACGTCATTGCGTTGATTTTTAATGTGTCCCATTAGTGGCTCACTTTTTGTCCGTGTCGCACCCTTCTCCCGGTCCATGTTTGACAACTGTCGCCTGGTCGCTACCTCTGTTCGGCGATAGAAGATGCGTCTGACCTGGATCCTCAGTGACGTGTCTGATCTATCCAACATATCTGACCTTATCTGACCTCCGCGCTTTGTCCTCAGTTCGGTGACAGCCAGAAGCTGCGTCTGGTCCGTATTCTCCGCTCCACTGTAATGGTTCGTGTCGGCGGCGGCTGGGAGGCGCTGGACGAGTTCCTCATCAAGAACGACCCGTGCAGAGGTGAGAATCCACGTCCGGGGTCAGAGACCTATCTGACAGAGAGGATTGGTCTCACCCCAGCTCTCACTCACACTGTGTCATCTGTGTTGACTCTCAGTTTACTAATTCTACACCGAATATGTGTGTACAGTTGCACTGCATAGGTAACTAATGCGCTAACTAATCTGGTGAGACATCGTGCGCTAACTAAACTGGCGAACCGCCAACCACCGCGCTGGCGACGCGTGTATGCACGGTAATAACACGGCTAACCTACTGCATACAGTCAGCCTGGTTGCCTTTCGCGAAGCAGGTCAGAATATCTAACATTTAAGCCTAATCTCTGGTGTTCTCTGGTAGTGCGCGATCGCTCGCTTTGTACATGACGTGACGGCCTTGCGCTGCAGGCGACCCCCCCCCCCCCTCCTCTCGTACCCCGCTCGACTAACCAGCCCGTGCTGCCCCGCCCGCCCCTCTCCCGCCCCTCCCCGCTCTGCCTGATTGCCCGCCCGCTCTGCCTGTCCGCCGCCTCCGCCGCCGCCCGCTGCGCCGCTAAAGTTCACGTTCTGTTTTCCAAAGAGGTGTGTGTATCGCGCCAGCTACTGGTCAAGGAACATCACGAGCGAGGATGCCCGATGAACGAGCAGCGTAAGCGACTAACGATCGGCTCGGGCCGTGCTGCTGGCTAGCCTATCCTCTATCTGTGTGGGCTGACCGGTCTCTGGTGTGCCTGCGGCTCAGAGGGGAGGGGAGATGGGTTTACAGACACGGCATGCTGCTGCGGTCGGCTGTACCTTTATCGGTGTTTGACCGACCGACATCGGTCACTGCCTGAGCACACTGCATGGGGCCGCTTGTGGTGACTTACAACTTGCCGCGGAGGGGTCTGGACTGCTGTGGTGTGGCGAGTTTCGAGGGCTGCCCTGTAGCCCGCCTACATACACTGTTGTTCTGGCCTCTGGGTTGATCGGGAGGGAGAGAAGTCTTCTGTGACGCTGTGGACACCGTGAGGGGACTGTGGAAGGACTCCAGGGGACTTCGGGACAACACTGTCACACTGTTCGCACACGACAGGACAACGGTCGTCCGCGTTACGGCGGGTCGTTGCTGCTCGTCCCATCACTGCACTCTGTCGGAAGGAATCGGCTCACATCCAGCCTGTCGAGGGCATGAGATTTCACTTGCTCATGCATCAATGCCCATGAATGAACAATCCTTTACTAGTTGTTCAGCTGTTACTTTTGTTTGCATTTTATTTTGTTTATTCCGTTTGTTTTGTTTGTGCCTGTTTTCTCTCATCATGTTTCGATGCACGAATGGTTTCACTGTATTTTATTGTGTCGAGCCGCCTGTTTTCAGGCCGGCTGATTTCATTGAGTTCGTACTCGCGTGTCTCAGTATGTTCTGTTTGTATGCGCGGCTGCAGCCCGAGGCGCCACCCGGTCCTCACCCCGCCCCGCCCCGCCCCGTCCCTCCCCCGTCCGCCCCTCAGCCAAGGGACGCACCAACGTTGAGCTGCGAGAACAGTTTGTGCTGGCGCCGGGCGTCTCGCAGAGCATGACACCGTTCAAGAGCAAGAAGTCGTCGGTGGACAGCCGCTCAGGCTCGGTGCCGACGACTGGAGTGGTGACCAAGGTGAGTGGGCGGGCGCGAGAACCCGCCGCTTCAGGATAGCATGGGGATCTGGATAGCGGAGCATAAGGATCTGAATAGTATAGGCATGGATGATATAACACTGGATTGGTGTCTCGTGGAAATTAACATTGGGATCCGCGACATTGGGATCAGGCCTGCCATCTAGCGAGAGAATTATCGTAAGTTAGGAGCAAACCGAGTGAACGCCATCTCTCACCATTATGACACACGTGGGTGTGGTGTATTAGTTGGCTTGAAGTGCATATTTACACGAGTTGGAGGTAATCTTACTGGACCCGAGGCGACAAAAATGTCTTAAATGCTTGGAAGCCAAAAACGTCAATAAGCCTTTAGGTAATAACGAAAATAAAATGCGTAAGACGGTGTGTATTGAAACGCCCAGTCCCATCGGCTTGTACACGACCTTTTATATGGTCATTTACTCTCAATGGTACGGCAGTTTGGCAATATGTCATGCACATTTGGTAGGCTTATTCCTTCTTCTCCGAATTTCGCCCGATTTTCTTCATCTTAGTTAATGTTACGGCACGTGCGACGTGCCAACTTAGGGGTGTCGAAATTGTTCCACATAAAGTAACTCCGCAATGACTGGGCCCATTACAGTAAAAGTTCGTCAATGGTTAGGCACCCAGTGGCCAATGCATTTCCATGTGTCACCATGGCCGGGGGGGGGTGCTACTGCACGTGCGCACGTGCGGGGTGCCGCTTCCATATATCAAGAACGGCTGGGCGGATAACACTCAAACTTGGTAAACAAATGTCACATCGATGCTGTACTGCATTGATCAGTACTTACATTGGTGCAGAGTCGTTAGGAAAACGATGAAATGAGATGCGTGGTGTTTATGCCTTTTTGTTCCAGCAGTTGATTGATCCACAACAGGAGATCCTTGTTTGTGAAGGGCGAAGGCTTCGTCTCCCTTTTCCACTCCTTGTTTAACATAACATTAACATTGTACGAAGATCACACATCAAAGATGTTTTAGGCGGCTATCTTGGGCCAGGGCTGCGGAGTTGTAGTCAGAGCCAGCGGTTCTGTTCCGACTCGGAGTCGGTTGATTTTCAAAAGCTGTAGTCGGAGTATGAGTCGAACGTTACCGAAAAGTCATCGACTCCACAGACTTACCAGGGCTACAGAGTCGGAGTCAGAGTCGGAGTTTGTGTGAATCGACAGTTCTGCCCGGAGGATTCGGAGTCGATAATTATCTCATCCATGGTATAGGTATCGTAGGGATAGCGAAGAAGTACTATTGTTTTGCCAATGAGGTTATGCCTATGAGGATATTTGTAGGGAACTTAAGGTGGCCTCTGTCTAATTGTTAACCTGGTTCACCCCGCTGTTGTCTTGGTACCCTGCGAGCGTGCCCTGGTGAATGGCATTGCCATGTTATAGATGTTCAGCGCGTACCTGGGCCGTCCGTACCCGCTGTCTCTAACCCCTGCACCACGTCTACCCCAGGTCCGCGAGAAGACGGGCCGCAGCACGCCACTGGGCCGCGCGTCCGTGTCCAGCGCTGCCGGTGACCGGGCCGGCTCGGTGGAGAGCGGCCACCGGCACCTGCGTAAGGGTAGCACACCAGTGCGCAGCGCCAGCTCCCAGGGAGGCAGCAAGCCGCCGAGCCGCGCTGGCTCCGAGATCAGCCTGGACTCGACCGACGGCCGGGTGCAGCGGACCCCCGGCAGCAGGCTCTCCACAGGACGAAAGGTGAGGGGAGGGGTGGATGACGGGTGGGGTAGGGGGATATCTCCGGCTGGCTGTCTTCTAAATGGGAGAGAAGGGAACGTAATCTGACAGCAGTGAATCTAGAACGCACATTGCACACCAAGGTGCGCAGGATAGCGATAAGGACTTATTCAGTAGCAGAAGAGCATACTAGCTACACTCAGCAGTGGTAGTATTCGGTATGTCCTCGGATCATGTAATTATCGAGTTGCATTGCACCGTTACGGGGAGGCACCGCTCTATTTGACACTCGGTTTGTCTGTTCGCCAGTCTTCCACCCCGTCGGGCAAGACCTCTTCCCCCGCCGCCAACGGTTCGGCCAACGGCAAAACGTACAGGTGAGTCTCGACGTCTTGGTGGAAGCCGTGTATGTGTGTGTAACATCGAGTGCCTGCAGCACTTCACCCACTCACTGTTGCCTACCTGGCTAATGGGAATGTCCTGCACTGAGTGTTGTCTCGCCCCAACCTTGCTAACCCGTCTGGCCTGAATGGTACCTCAAAACTCCCTGGCTAATAACTGTTAACCTGTGACCGGGCTCACCTCCAACCAGCGGGCGCGGCTCATGCTCGTCCCGCGGCCGTCCGCTCTGCCGGCCGCCGCTGCTCAAGGCAGCTTCCACACCGGTGCTGTCGCCTATCGACGAGACGCGAGGCTGCGGTTCGCGTGCCGGCCGCAAGGGCGGCGCTTCCCTGGCGGCCACGGCTCCGGCCGGTCTGGCCGCATCTCTGAGGTATCTGGCAGCAGCGCCAGGTAGTTCAGGCTAACCCGCAGCAGACAGGTCGGCCGCAGAGCAGAGGAACTCGAGGTCCCGCTTCTGTAGGTTCCGTCCAGTTGATCCATCGCCGGCCAGTAGCTTACTAACCAGCTTCCGTATCTTAGCTGTGTGAAGTACCCTAACGCTGTGCGTTTCATGTTGTAGCTAAACGTAGTCACTAACGCTCCTCACTAACTGTGTTCTAGGTTCCGGAGGCCAGCTTCAGTATCGTCTTTCTCTCCTGGAGTGCCAACACCCAGGTACTAACACCACCCAAACCCTAGTGCAGAATACTATCGGTAGAAGACGTCCGTCTGTTCCCTAAGATCGGTGGGGGTTGTCTCCGTCCTGTACAATAGACTAATGTTGGTGGTGGCCGGTCCTAAGATATATCGAATGATGATCCTTCTCCGCCCCTGTGAAGTTAATGGAGAGCCCAGAAAGCATTATACGTTCCGCCCCTGTATAAAGAACAGCTCTCGCCTGTATATGAAGAACGCTCTCCCCTGTATAATCTCACCCAGGTGGCATTAACCCCGCCTCTCACGTCCCTTTTCACTGACTGCGGTGGCCGGCACCGATCACTACTCACTAACCCCGCTCAGCGTCTCACGGTGACGGCCGCTCACTCTCTGTCTCTCGCTCTCTGTCTCTCTCTCTCTGTCTCTCGCTCTCTGTCTGTCTGTCGCGCCTGTCTATAGCCACACTCTGTTGTCTGTCTGCAGTAGGAGCCGCATACCGGTGATGGTTCGCTCGGGAACCGCCGACGAAATCGAACTCTCCGACACCAGGTAACGGGGGTTCCGCGCACGCCGCCAGTCGGTTCCCGGTGTCACCCTTTTGTTTAATCGTAACTTGGATTCGCATTTGCTGATCGGCGTAGGTATATAGTTATCTACGTAGCTCTTTTGCTCTTAGGGTTAGCATCGCCTGCCTATTGCCTGGACTAACCGTACTTGGTGTGGACTTAACTGCTGTTGCACTGCACTAACCATTCGATCCACACCCTGGCCGCATGCTCGCAGTTTGCTGATATGCCTGTATGTACGATACTAACCGGTTTGGGTGTGCGTGTGGCGATATCAGGCGGAGTCTGGTGACCCCTCCCACTCGGCGAGCCATCAGTCGCGGAGGATCGACCCACAACATCCCCGAGGATGAGCTGTTTAACTGGCGAGACATGACCCCAAGGTACGGGATGGGAGCCCCGCCTCACCCTTCTTCGCCCGCGTCCTCAATGGCTGGGAGCTTGACAAAATGGGATGCCCATCTACTAGCATGATTATCCATTCACTTAGCATGATTATCACTGGACCTCACCTCTGACCCTACCACTGGCTACTCTAAGGTATTAATTAACTCATCCCTGTCCTTATGCTGGTCTGTGGACTATAGACGAGCGAGGCCCGGTATGGTCCCTAATTATTGGTTAATGTGGTCGGTTTGGTCTCTGACCACGGATGATCGGCTGTGCAGTGTTGCACTGCACGCATGCATTCCTCAGATGTTGTACGCTGATATTGTGTGCAAATAGTCTGTTCGAACGTGATTGTATAATTACGAGATGTAGTAGTAGTCGTGCATGTGTTTGAATGATACCGTCGTGTCGTAACTCTTAACTCGAGTAACTCGTTACCGACCGTTATTGACTGAAACTCACTACTCATCACTCATCAGTATTCAGTAATCACTCTAACATCGTGTGTATCCGGGCCACCCTGTATCGGGCGCCCGCCAACACTAATCCGCACCATCTAACCTGTACAGGTCGCGAGCTTCCTCACAGTCGAGTGTATCGTCTGCATCACGGCTTTCAACAGGCCTCAGGTAACTGCAACCAACCGACCCGCGAGTCTGACTCACTGAACCCTTTGCACGATGCGTTTCATTTTACGGTATGTCTAACATGAATGGATTCTAACAGTGTGCCGCTGATATTGACCTGTTGAAGGTATTTGGAGACCCAGCTGGGATACTTCCCCCCATAACATTATCCTCGTCTAGTGACGGAGCCGCGGCCAGTGTATATGGGTGGCATTACCCACTGGATGGTTGGTGAAAGGCTCCGTTTGACCCGGCTATTTTCTGTCCCGCAGGCCAAAGACCAGCGGCTCGCAGATCCCAGTTCCAACCATGCAGAGGTGAGTTAGTTGAAGGTGAATGGTTTATCCTTGCTACAAGCATAAACCACCGGCTAAAAATGTTGAGGATTGGTGTCAACAGCTATCAAGCGTCTTATTTCAGTCCCGAGCCTTCCGAAATCAGCCGCGATTACCCAGTCCCCGTCATCAATTCGTAGACGAGCGGGTTTTACCTTTCTCCGCTCCCGACGCCCTGTTAGTCACATTTATTGTGAGCCCGGACTGATCGCGGATTTTTCTTCCACCAGGGAGGGCTCTGCGTCGAAGATCCACCGGCGATCATCGGCAGCGAGCGATTCGGGCCGCGGCCAGACGCGCAAGAGCACCAGCTCCCAGCCGCGCTGGCACTGAGCGAGTAGCCACGGGCGACAGTCGCCGCCCGGACAGAGCAAAGAGAGGGAAGATAGAGCAGAGAGAGACAGTCGGCTCCGGTCGACGCACGACCAATCTGTACATACGAACGAACTGACGGCCAAGATCGCAGAGCAGCTAGAGCATAATGATCACTAACCAAAACTGCCGCGAGAGGTGCTTCGAGGAGACACGATCTAACAGTCTTTCTATCATTAATTATGTATCATGTATGGATATGTTATTATTTTTGTGTGGCCCGTGTGATGGCCGGGCGTCGTGAGACGGTGCTGTCGCCTAGCGGCGAGAATTAGAAGCGACACTAATGGAATTGGGGCAATGGACGCATGACACGATGCGCACCAGGGTTTTGTAATGCTGCGTGAGTGATTCTACCATGTGATGTGAGAGCGCGAGTGCACGGCGTTAAAAGACGGTAATGCTGACTGACTAAGGTGCAGGTGCGCGCGCGGCGAGTGAGCGCCGGCGGACGGCGGCGGCCGACGGGCCGGCGGGTGCTGTGCGGGCGCCCGCCGGCCGCGCGGCGACGCGGGGCGCGGACCGGCAGATGTCCATCGGGGGCGGTGCGGCGCCCTCCGGTCGGCCCGCGTCCCGTGCCGCCGATGGCTGGCCGACCGCCGCCCACACAGCCGGCCGGTCCATTTTTGTACTCTGTGGCCCAGAGGCGCGGCCTAACGCCGCGACTCAGCTGGGTCGAGTGTGAAACGTGCACTGTGAGTCCATTGTGAGAGAAAACAGCTTCGAATAAACGGCTTCCCCATATCGACGTCTTTGACTCCACGCCCTTCCACAAATGCGTTTTAGTGGAATGATTGTATTGGAAGGATGGAACACTGGAGCATAATTCCGGGTAAACGTGGACCGAAATTGTCAGCTGCGTCCATGATAATGTTGCCCCATGCCTGTAAACTAAACAGTGGCAACAGCAAAGCATGGGTGTATTTAGGAAAGCGCGGATCGCCGCAGCTTGCAATATGCCTGGGACTTAAACAAGGTAAGCGGCTGCATGTGACGTTCTGCAGTATATTGAAGTTAAACAATCAGTTTATGCATATTCGTTGACCGGAAAATATAGATCGTCCGAGAAACTTTAGTAGTCCATGCAGCAAGCTCATGACTTATACGGATTGTGCATTTCAAGTGTGTGTAGCTCAGCGTAACAAGCATAGTTTCAACAGCTCTTCACATGTAAAACTGCCGCATCATGGTCTCGGTAGTAACTAGCTCTTCTCTCTCCCTCAACATCTGCCATGAAGCATCAGGCCGTGTTTATGACACGTTATGGCAGCTATTGTTCTTCACTCGATCCTTACGGCATAAGTCAGGCGGAAGGGGGACAGTCGAAGACGGCCCCAGTTCCCAGTCGTTTCCCCAGTCGGGGAAAGGTGAAACGTTAGCTAATCTAAGGTACGCACGACGCTAGCAATACCAACAACCAGGCAAAATGGCTCTAAGGTTAATCATATACAATGAAACAGATGATCGGTCGTCAGCAAATTGCGCGTGACTACGACTAACACCTAGTACCTACGGTCACATTGTTCACAAAGTGCTAAGAAACTGCTAAAAGTAAGTGTAAGCAAACAGTACAATTCGTATACGCTAATAAAACACATTCGCCTATCACGTACTACCACCTAACACCAACCGTCGGTTCAATTGGAAAAGCCGACCTCTAAAAAAATTTGGCAGTACTTTCTGTGATCCTAGCCCAGAATCGAGACACCATTATACGACATAAAAACATATCACAATGGAGGGCAAGCCTACAGTCTATACCGAACCAAAGAACGGAAAACGAGACAATTGAACGGCAAAAGCCGGTGACATACAACTGCTGAACAATACAAGTCACACGTGTTCATTTCATATGTTCACAACTTCCTTGCGACACACTGCTACAACGTTACAATCGAATATGCGTACGACACTTGTCAGGCTTTCGGCCAGTCATCAGTCAGTCAGCACAAAGTGGCACGACAACATGCGGTAAGCTATTGATATCTCCCACCCCCGCTCACAACTTAAGGAAAGTGTATAAAATATTTACGGATTCATCTAACGTCCATCTATGTGCCACACACGTCGCATCCATTGGCAGTATGACCACACTTGCGCCCACTTAAGCTAAAGCTAGATATTTCGGAATGGCACCCCGTTTGTAACTCTTCACAACCTTAGAAGTCAGGATAACGCTATAAAATATAAATAGCGGGAATTCATAAAGCATTTCAGGACGGATCCAATGCGACAAGAAATCGTCGCAGGTCGCGGGTCCCATACTTTTCCAATGAGGCCAGATGCAGGCATGTCTGAGGCAAAGTCGGGCTCGTTCCCTTACGGACAGGTAGTCTGGCAGAAGTGCCGGGCCAAGCCGAGCTCCAAAACGCTCAAGTCCATAAGACGGGTCCCATAGTTCTCCAATGATCCCTATTCAGGCCTGTCTCTTTAGGGACACTCAAATCCTTGCTGAGTTGCCTGGTCAACCCGAGCACCAGCTAAATGCACAGAGTCCATAGACAGGCTCCCTACAGAAACTCCTCAGAAAGCGACGACAATCTCACCATTTCAGTGACCATCCCAGCTCATGCTGCGGCGTCTGTCGGTCACTGACTGGCACCGAGTTGAGCCAGCTGGACCACAGCGTCATAGGCCTCCTCGTCCCAGAGGGCCTTGGCCAGGCGCTCGACGGTGGCGGCGGACGACTCCCTTTCCCTCCAGGCGCGCAGCAGGCGGTAGCTGATCTGTTGGACCAGACAGGACGGGTTAGTGGCGGCGGACGACTCCTTTTCCCTCCAGGCGCGCAGCAGGCGGTAGCTGGTCTGTCGGACGGGAAGGGGTGGGTTAGTGGCGGGGGTCGAGTCCCTTTCGCTGCAGGCCCGCAGCAGGCGGTAGCTGATCTGTGGGACGGGACAGTACGGGTTACTGGGATCCGCCGACTCCTTTTCCCTCCAGGCGCGCAGCAGGCGGTAGCTGGTCTGTCGGACGGGACAGAATGCGTTAGTAGCTGATCTGTTGGATAGGACAGAATGTGTTAGTAGCTGATCTGTCGGACGGGACAGGACGGGCTAGTGGCGGCGGTCGATACTGCCCTCCACACCCGCAGTAGGCGGTAGTAGACTGATCTGTCGGACGGAGTAGAGCGAGTTAGTAGCTGATCTATCGGATGGACAGGGCCTGTGTTAGGGGGGCGACCACCGCGATTGACTCGACATAGTGGGGCTCTGTACACGCGCACACACTCTTACCCCGCCCACCGAGCAATGCTGGGACAACACAACGACACGCACTGTAGCCCCGCCTATCTACAGACGCCACAGCGAATTCAGCTTCTCATAACACATGTCGCTACCTTGCGCTATGATGCACGTCATACACTGCCCAAAAGAATGTTTGCGCGGTATTTTGAGAGCCAGATCCTATCATGCTGCTCAGCATATTACAAATGCAATCTAGACAGCATAGCAAGGTCCGCTATATCCCACAGACCACAGACCATAGCCTATATTGTGCTACATACCAGTCGGTGTGACAGCGACCGACACAGTAGCATTGCTTCGACACTCACCTCCTGAAGACTCTCTGCGCGGTACTCAAAGTCGTCCGTCTCTGCGCCGAGAAAGCCGAGTCGCCGGGCCAGGTCGCGCCACCCGCTCCCGATGTAGCGAGAGGCGGTGAGCAGCTGTCGGTCGGTGGTCATCGAGGAACACCGGAACAGCGCTGGGGAGAACAGGAGGAGCAAACAGGTCAGACAGAATAGGGACAGAGCTGGAGAGAGCACGGCAGAACCAGTCAACGGACACCGAAACAATGCCGAGGAGAGCCGAGGAGACTAACAAGTCAGAGGGAAAGGGACATCGCTGGTGAGAACATCTGGGGAAACCGGTCACGAAAAAATGGGACGGCATAGGAACAGGTCAGCAGGGACAGGTCAGCAGGCCCCAGAACAGTGTTAAATGAGAATGGGAGAGAACCGGAACTGAATTCACATCCGAATTGTCGTAACGTAATGCATACTTCTACAAGAGTCGGTGCTAAATGAAGAAAATCAGCGACCAGCATCAACAAAGGTCAAAGCATGGTGTCCGCGGCAGAACTGCATGTTTTCTATACCCTTCGCTACCCTTCTTGTCTGCGATGTAGAGTTGACTGACCTATCAGCTGCGGCGTGGAGTCCGGCGGCCGGCGCGGACGCGGCTTCTTCAGCGCCTCGCACAGCGTAACGTTGCTGCCCACATGAACATGGCTAGAGCCGTGGACCACCACACTGGACCCACCTGTCGGTCGTACAGAGCACGGACGGTGGTCAGACTGGAACGGTGGTAGTCTCACAGAAGTCAACAGCATAGTCTCGTAAAACGTATAGACATGGTTCACACAAACATATTTGAGCCTCAGAGATAAACACTTTCCTCACAGGGATGGATGGACATAGCTAATACGTAGCAGAGCAGAATCGTGATTTGTGATTTTAGGGTGCTCAAAATTCAGGTCATGGATAACAGGAGACAGTTTTCATTCACACAAGGCACTTATGGTCACACACAATGATGGAATTCAGGGTCAAAGAAATGACACACAATCATATTTCATAAAGAGAAGCCTAGCTTCAGCAAAATAGAGAGAGAGAGAGAGAGAGAGAGAGAGAGAGAGAGAGAGAGAGAGAGAGAGAGAGAGAGAGAGAGGGAGAGGAGAGAGAGAGAGAGAGAGAGAGAGAGAGAGAGAGAGAGAGAGAGAGAGGAGAGGGAGAGAGAGAGAGAGAGAGAGAGAGAGAGAGAGAGAGAGAGAGAGAGAGAGAGAGAGAGAGAGAGAGAGAGAGAGAGAGAGAGAGAGAGAGAGAGAGAGAGAGAAGAGGCATATCTGTCCACTCACTTACTGGGTTTCTGATGAACTAACTACACACAGCTTTGGCCAATCACAGCACGTTACAGTAGGCAGTTGCCAATTATTACAGAGGCAGGGCCAGGAGGGTACCTCCAACCAATCACAGGTCAATCCAATGGCCAACCATTCTGCATCAAACCAATCCACTAGGTGCTCACACCACTCACACACCACTGTATATGTATGTAGTCAGTAGTCAGTAGTTGGTGCATCCTGCTCACCATGATAAGACTGAACTCACCTGAACCTGATTCTGGTGCCTGTTGAGGAGAAGGACTTGAGTTGTTCATTGGTCGGTAGGTCCCCATCGCAGGTTCAAAGCTCACTGCATCTGACTGAATGTCAGACATTGTGCTGCTCTTCTCTGAAAGATGAAAACTGCAAATGTATTCATGGTACCCGAGGGCAAAAACACTGTCACTCTCTAGTGGCTAAGTATTCTGGAAGTTGGTTATGGATTGGAACTGTGACTCAGATTGATAGAAGATATACTCAATATATCAGATATTGATATAGCTGCTTTGTTAATATAGTTGCTTTGGCTACTAGTTAGTCTTCATGCTAATCTCAATCTCACTAAACCCTCCTCACTCTTTCACTGTCCCTCACAGAGTGACATTTGCAGCCTGCTGCCTATGCTCCTTGTCACCAGATAACAGACAGATAGGAACATCATAAACAGTGCTTATTGTTATACAGTGCCACACAATCTTTGGAAAAAAATGCATCTCATAACCATGTCATATGACATTAATATAAAAAGGTAGGTTAACAATTTCTAGAAAGGCAAGTTACATATTTAATGCTATCCCATCCCAGTTGTACTTTATGACCGGTATTGACACTTTAAGTAACTTATGTCGTATTATCTACAAAAAAATGAATAAATGAAGTACCGTAAGGTGGGGCTATTTGAGACAGTGGGGCTATTTGAGACAGTATTTAAAATTGGTATAAAATAAAAACCGTTTGAAATTTATGCTTAATTTTTGCTCAGGCGATTTACTGCTCGATTCCACACCTTCCTGAGCGAAAATATCACATAAAAATCAAACGCTCTTCATTTTATAGCGATTTTAAATACTGTCTCAAATAGCCCCACTGTCTCAAATAGCCCCACTTTACGGTACTTTTACACTAGCATTCTGCTTATCCCAGTGTATCTTAAAGCATATTTCTAAATTGTCAACAAAAACATAAATCTGCAACATGACATGGATGTCACATGAGTAACTGGTACATGGAAAAGCTGGTCCAGAGTCCAGACTGATCTAAGAGGCACACCACTGACCACGAGTACGAACTACCCTAGGCGAACTGAAGTTAATGCACGCGTCGCATAGCCTTGTATAATTTGTAGAAGAGAAAAGAAAATATCAAGTAAATTAACTTGAATTTGTTGGATGATTTTATTGATGTAAGCCAAGGCTGTAAGGCTAACAGTTAGGTGTTGGAAAACATGAAACAGTGGAAATAATGTGCAAGTCAAAGTTCCTAATCAACATGAAACACAGCCTATGCTAGCATATAATCTGTAAAACAACATGCAGACATACATATATAAATCAAATATGGGCAACAATCTCTACAGCAATCCGTAAATTAATCATTCAAAAATCAAAATATTTACAAAAACCAACACCACACATTTACGTTGTTTACCTCTGGGTGCGACAAAAATGGCGCTAACGTCAGCTGTTTGTTGAATCAAATTATCAAATCAAAATTTAATCAAAATTGCAATCAAATTTACTGATTTTGTAGTATTAATGCAAACCCTCATTCACTATCGTAGTTTTCATTATATACCTATCTTTATTTGTACTCATTCTGAGCCGTTTTTTTTACGTTACCATTCCGAGATTAATGTTGTACATAGAAGCAGTAGCGGATCCAGGATTTCGTCAAGGGCGGCATACGGTATTGTGGTGCCCCCTGGCATTTGGTGCCCCCCCCCCCCCTAAAAAATCCACGGATTTCGCCCACTTACTTTTCGGGATGGTGCCCCCTCAGACCCGGGGAGAGTGCTCCTTCAGACCTCGGATTTCGGAATGGTGCCCCTGGAAACTTGGAATGGTGCCCCCGGAGACAGACTTCGGGATGGTGCCCCCGGAGACCTCGGGATGGTGCCCCCTCTGCCCTCAGACCTCGGGTGCCCCCAGATCTCGCGATGGTGCCACCGGACTCGGAGACCTCGGGATAGTGTCCCCGGAGAACTGAGATGGTGCCCCCGCGGGTCTCGGGATGGAAATAGCCCCACCCGAGGCGAGGGACAGAAATGGGCCTCCGGGAGACCCCGAAAACGGTACCCTAGGTAACAGACCTTCTGGATGGTGCCACCTTGGGAGACCTCGGGGTTGAAGCTACCGTCGATGACCTCCGTGATGAATTAAAAAAAAAAACTCCGTGATGGTGCCCCCATATGCCCCCCCCCCCCCTGGATCCGCCACTGCATAGAAGACTGATGCTGGTTTGCGTGGTTTTCCTTTAAAAGCAACGATCTTTCGACGCCCAAATGTTTTTAAATGAGGTGGCCGATGGACAGTGTATAGAGGCATTCATTGTTTGCACTCTACATTGGACAATGGTCACTGTTCAGTTGTAGCCATTATAAGCCATATTATATAATCGGGGTAAACTATGCTGATGAAGCCTATAAGGCCGGCATCGGTGAATTAACACTTATGATAAATGACTAGCAGCTGCCAGCTAAGTCACTTAAAAAGTTTAATTTTTGGCCACGCGTTTCATTCCGCTCAACTGCAGTGCTGACGCCTTGCGGCAGCAGCTTCCAACGGATACCCAACCCACCGGTACCCCGGTGGATCTGTCGCCGTGCAACGGCCGTGCACCTCTGATGCCGGCGCCGCCAGCTCCGCGGCCGTCGCCTCGCTGTCAGTCAACCCGTGACCGTCGCGCCGGGAGGACCACCCCGCGATGGTGCGCGCTGTGACGCTGCTGGTGTGCTGCGCTCTGGTCGCAGCCGCCGCCGGCGCCGATCAGGTGCCGTGCACGGTGGACGAGGCCGGCACCGGCGGCGTGTGCGGCAGTCTCTCCGACTGTCCCGAGCTGGAGCGACTGGCCCGTTCAGCCCGTCCCAACACACCGGCCGTCCAGCGACTGCGCAGTCTCGTTGCGAAATGTTCTCAGTTGGCCAGCGGCCGGATCCAGATCTGCTGTCAAAACGAAGAGACACGCACATCGCAGCCACCGCGGGTGCAGCTGCCGTTGCCGCCCACCTGCGGTTCCCGGTTGTTTTCGAAAGTGGTTGGCGGTGACGTCGCTGTAATCGGAGAGTTTCCTTGGATGGTGTCCATCCAGTACACCAAGACGCGGACCGACTCGGGGCTCCAGCACGGCTGTGGAGGCACGCTCATCACATCGCGACACGTGCTGACGGCGGCTCACTGCGTCAGCTTTCTCAGCACCCCCGAGTCCAACGAGCTGACGCCCGTCGCCGTCGTGTTGGGCGAGCTCGACTTCGACAGCGAAATCGACTGTTTGTCTTTCGGGCCCACCACGTCCACGTGTGCCGACAGACCGATCACCGTCGACATCGAGGCCATTTTCCCGCACCCGGACTTCCAGAACATCCGTCAGCTGGCTCTCCCCAATGACATCGCCGTGGTGCGGCTGGCACGCGAGGTTACCTTTACCGAGTTCATCCAGCCGATATGCTTACCGACCAATATCTCGGCGCTGGGTGACCCCAACCAAACAGACATTACACCCGACCAGATGGGCACCATCGTCGGCTGGTGGCGCACCAATGTCAGCTCCTTCAGTCCGGTGGTGCAGCGGGCGCGGCTGCCGATCGTCAATATGTCTCACTGTGAGAGACGTTTCCGCCGCAGCCTGCCCAGTCGGCTGTGCGTCGGCGAAAGGCCCAGCGATATCAGAACATGCCCCCGGGACCCGGGCGGACCACTGATGGTCACAAATCGGTTCGACACTATCTTCCAGACGGGCATCTTCTCATTCCCCTCTGTCTGCGGCATGAGATTAGCCGTCTACACACGCGTCTTTGACTACATAGACTGGATTATCGAGCAGATCAACAAGTGATGATCCGTGCGTCAACGGCGGACTTTTGGCCTGCACTTGGGTGAGCTCGTGATTCTTACATCCAAACAGATATTCATGGGTCGTCCGTGTTTACATTCCACAGATTGTGCAACATAGCATCCACGGGTTAGATGTGACGCGATTTGTGTACGGCTTACACATGTTATCATCTTTCTGTGACTGGGGCTGCGAGTTAAAAGGTACAGAGTTAAAAGTCGTCAGATCAGATAGTGCAAGCGGTGATTTCGATGCGCAGCGTCACAAATGCCATTTCGTCACATCCGACATCATTATCGCGATCGGTCGGTACCCACTTTTCCGGTTTCTGTGACTTTTAGTGCTCTTCCCTTGGCTGTGCTCGGTAAGATGGGATCCACGCTAAGCCGACGTGATTGTGACCGCAGCTCCACGCTGTCAATGCATAGGCGGTATTGTCTATCTTGAATGGACTGGTTGCTGTCAAGGTTATGGGTGCTATATGTATCGATGTCATGTAGGTACCTGTTATAGCTATATGATAACTGTGGAGGTATTGTCATGTCATGCAATGGTGACGCTGGTTTTTTGTGGTGACGAAGAATAATACATACTGGACTTATGCCTGCATATTCCCAGGAAACTATGAAAAATAACTTGAAGGACAAGGTAGGTATTTCTCGTATTGTAGCGAAGCGACGCTACGGCCTACCTACGTCGAGGCTGCATTTAGCATTATACATTTTTGAAAATGCATATTGCGTAACAAAATAGCTTTGCGGAATGCAAGCTGACACCAACATTTGAGGCACTAGCCCCAGCCTGCAAGGACCCGTCGACTTTATATGATTGGGCCAGAATCGTCATCAGTTCACCGTTCACGGCTCGTGCCTTCCGCCGCGCCGTCTCGGACTGCGCGTAATGCGTATACTGTATGGGTAGACTGTACCGCCGAGCGTCCCCGCAGTGCGGTGCAGTCTACCCAGCCAGGTGGAGATGCAGTAAGAAGCCGCCCGCCGCGCTGTCTTCGGCGGCCGGACCACAAACGTTCAGCGAGCAGTTTTTATCTAAAACGGGTTTATATTTTAGAATTTCTTGCAGATAAAACAGCAACCATTGTCAACATTATGTAAAGGAGCTGTATCTAATATTTGCATCCGTTGCATCCACTCGCTTCATTTTGTCTTCGTTCCCTGTACTTCATAATAAAACGTAGAATATTAATGCATTTTTAACGTCTATCACAATAACTTCTTGTTGTACCTTTAGCTCTTTGTCTGCCTTGATGGCTTGTTTGACCCAATCCCGGGAATTAATTATGAAAAACGTCAAGGTTATCCTCGTAAACCTCGGCGGTCCTCAAATGTTTCCGAGAAGTCCGCTCGGATCGATACGGGTCGGTCTGGAGAGAATCAGCTGATCGGGCGCCACAGTAGGGACCCAGCGTGCGGGCGAAGGGGAGAAGAGAATGACTTCACCAAACAGTGCCTATACGGCTGACCGGGTCAGGAACACAACCCAGAGGATAGGTGGGACATCAGCTTAGCTAAATGAACAAAACCGCCGCCTGCAGCTGATGCGACCGACACTCGTCTGACACAATCCCCAGCTGACCGTGCTGACACGTACCCAGCTGATACAGCTGACAATGAACTGACACCACCGCCCAGCTGACCAGAGCGGCTGCTCTCTGTGCCGCCGGTCTCCCGGGTCCCCCGCTGCGGCCACGTGCCTTCTGCACGCGGCGGCGAGGCGCGGCTCTGTGTTCGTTCATTCAGCGTGCTCGTCCCGAGCGGCGCGGCGCCGGCAATCGATCGTCTTTGTTGGCTGTGCTGCGGGTGGCGGCGGCGGCCGGTCGTCGGCGGCGACGGCAGAGTCAGTGGTGACCGGTGCGGCGCCCGGGTCGGTCGGTCTGCCACGCGATGCTCCGCCGCTGGGCCGCACCGCTGCTGGCAGTCGTGTTGGTACTGCTGGCTCGGCCGGCGCTCGGCTCGCCCGGCGACCGGGCGCACGTCTTTCAGTCGTGTCTGGCCAAGTGTGTCAAAATCAACTGTACCCAGTCGGAAGGTAAGAGCACTGACTAAAGAGCAGTCCAAGACGCGCAGCTAAACAAAGGATTAGCTGCTTCAGCGACATGTGCTGATGTAGAGGCTCTCACCGATTGCTGACGTTGGTGTATTACATAAGTTTCTGCAAAATTTTCGGATTTCTAGCATCAAATAAGAAATCTGTATTGATTTTGACCAGTCCAATGAATGAAATCACGCCTCTTTGAGCAGATCTGAGCCTTTGTCAATATACCTATGTAGCCGGATGCGCCAGTGTTGCTGCAGGTAGCATGTCCACGGCCAGTCATTATCCGTCTGCGAAAAGATCAGCGGCGCGTTGGTGCGTGCACGGTCTGAGCCAGTATCCCAGCCTTACAAGGATCCATATGGCGTCTCGCGACCCCGGTGACCTTTCGGTTTTCATTCATTCACGTTAGAGGACGCATTAATCCTCTCTAAAGTCGTAAAGTTACAAATGCACGCACAGTGCACAGCACTTAGTATATTTGATAATTTTGTTATATGGGCTCTTGTCGGTGCTCGAAGACGTTTCATCTTTGAATTGTTGTGTCAATGATCAGATGCGTCGCAAAAGTCATGTAGTCTGTGGGTCATGGACATGAGCTGATGCAGGTCAGGGTAACGGTACCTTTTCGATTAGTCTGTGATAGCCGATAGGTCAGAAAGTACACATTTAATGAAAAAAGCGAAAAAATCTTTTAATTAGCTTCCACGGGCTTAAAAGAAAAAAATCGTGTCTCCGAGTGACGGAGTACACATGCCATGCAGTAGGTCAGTAGCCGGTGCCCTGCTGATCCGACAATCCTTTTGTTACAGGCCTGGCAAGGGGACTGCTCTGGACATGTCCCGACAATTGTAAATACCAGTGTATGTGGACCACGGTCGACGCCTTTGTGGAAAATGGAATCGACGTTCCGCAATTTTATGGCAAGGTAGGGTCAACGGGACTAGTTAACTCATTGCAGTCATATAGCAGTAAGAAACTAGAAAACAGCTTGTTGTCTGAAAGGGAATGGCTAACAATGAGAAAAGCGCAGATAAGATTTAGCGCTTTTATACCCATTTCATGTGATCTCAAATACGTGCTCTGTGTGTGTCCTATGTTGGCCACTTGTCCAGTAAATAATGCTGTGTTACTGACGCGAGTGCGCCGTGACCGTTTATCCATTGTGTGCAGCGTTTCTGTCATGCGTTTCCGCGGTGACCGTCTATCCATGGCGTCTGATCCATTGTTACTAACACTCCTTGCGTGCTGCAGTGGCCGTTTGTGCGGTGGCTGAGCATGCAGGAGCCGGCCAGTGCCCTGTTCTCCATACTGAACCTGCTGGGCCACGTGCTGATGCTGCGCCGCTTCACGTCTCTGGTGCCGCGCCAGGCGCCGCTCTACTGGCTCTGGGTCACCTACAGCCTGGTGAGTAGATCACTCCGCACTCGTACACAAACTCATAGGCATACCGATCGATACTTCCCTCTGCTGGTGCACGGCACATGCAGCGGGATCCATGCTCCTCTTTAATATGGAACGGTGAACGCTAAATGCTTGAATCAAACTTACTTTGACCGTTAATTGGTATCACGTATTTTCATGCATGAAAAGTATAAACGCATACCGTACGACTTGCAAAACATTAAAAAATATCATCTCAACCTCACACGAGCTTCTCTTTTTCGGGATTATTTACAATAAAAAAGTTTTAAATCAAGACGCAATGTTATAGGTGATATATTACTGGGAAGGGTTTTAATATAAAACGTTGGCAGAGAACTTAATGCATTCCTGTGTTCGAGCAGTGCTGGCGATCGGGCGTCAGTAGGTCACACTCGAGTTGTGCCGGTTTGGCGGCTCGGTTCCGCGAACCGGCTGTCGATGCTGGCCGGGCTGCCCGTATGGGCCCGCTCGCAACTTCCGATGGATATTGCCATTGTAAAATGTGATGAGAGCGGCGCCGAAAGGGATATAAAGGCGGCAGCGGCGCCGTGACCGCCGGTGCCACTCACCGACCGGCGGACCGAGGTCAGCCGAGTGTGACACTGTGACACCGTGACACGCCATCACAGCGGCGTTTGACACCGTAACACGCTGTCACGGTGTCACGGTTGTGATGGCGTGTGATATAGCAACGCTGGGAGCCAGGAGGGAGGCACCGTGGCATGGATTCATTGAGCTGTTTAGCAGATAACTTTGCTTAGTGCAAGGCCTCAGGAGGGAACTTTGTGGCTGCACTACGCAATACGCATTGGAGGAGGGAGCTACCTAAGAGCAATCGGCAGTGGAAAGTGAAGAGTAAGCTGTCTGGCAGGCTGTGATGGAGGCACTGCCGCGCGGATCTGGCTGAGAAACACCAGCGAGCTGTGTGAAACTGACTAGAATGTACACCTGAGCAGCGGGGGAATGTTACCAGTGGAGAGCGAGAGCCGACCGGTGGCACGGTGCTGGAAAGGTCAGTGAGGATTGGACCAACGTCCCAGCACCGACTCTCATCGGTGGATTCGAAACAAACGGCTCCTCTGTCCCAGAGGGACGACACTGCACGAGGCAGACCGCCATCTGCCGAGGGACGACGGGTGGACTACCGTTTTCAAGAAGGTCTGACAAAATTTAGAACGCTTGTGTTTGCCTTTCGTCATCTCTATGCCAAGTATCCGCTGTTGTGAACGGCCATTTAATGGAGGATTGAGTGAGCTTCCAGAGAAGCCTCCCTTCCATGGTTGCCGGCTGGTGACTAATCACATCTGAAATCTAAGGCGGCTAAGTCTATTATATACAAGCATATGTATTATGTATGCACTTTGCAAACCGAGAAACATATACTAGTGACGCCTTCCAAATTTCAATACAAACATGCTTCATTCCTCGTTTATCTTTCTTACGCCTTTATCATCTCATACGTAACCTAGTTTTGTTAAAAAGAAAACATCCAATTTTCATGCCTACCTATTGTGAGTGGTTGCTCGATAAATCACAATCCTGATGGGGACGATAAATATAGCACGCTAGCTACCACGTGTCGGCGTCTGCTCGTTTGCGGTTATGTCTTTGTCAATTGAGGGGCAGCGATCCATTGTTTAGCCGAGCAGTTCGCGTGATGAAAGCCATGACAGCGTCAGCATTTAGACGTTCTGTTGTGACTCTGCTGGTGCTCCGTTCTGGTGCTCCATTGTTCATAGTTAGCAATTATGTTACCGGCGTGATCAACATCGTAGCAGCGCTGTCCCAGCCGCTTTATAAATGTGTTTATCAGAAAAGTATTTTTTATTGCATTTATCTAGGCTTACCTACATTGAAGAGCCGAGAAATCAGTTTCATTATCAAACTTATGTTTTACCGTGACCTATAGGATAAAGAACGCGTTTGTTATCTACTCCCTAAATGTTGAGATGACACTTATTTAATCTGAGGCAGCCTGCTACGATGGAAATAGGTGTTCCCAGTTTTTGCAAATTACTTGAATTATGACCAGCCCTCATGTATCCGGGGTACCCCGCAGTTTTATGAACGGACGATCAAAGTGTAGCCGATGTCTCTGAGCTTTCAGGGGTAGCCCTGGCTAGGCTGATAACGGCTGACATCTCAGGCCGTTCCTTGGCCAATGGCCACATATGCTGGTGTGGCTTCTGTCTCTGACGAAACCAGCTGTCGCGTGCATTTCTGTCTCGCCGGGGATGTAGCCCGCGCCTCTGAGCGACTGCAGTGAGGCAGGCGGCCATTTCCGGTGAAGTTTGCAGCGATGCGCCGGCGGTGACGGCCGCTCGGTGACCTTGAGGTCAGGGCCGGCGGCAGTGCCGGTCGATCCCCGGCTCAGCATCGACCGGCCACTGCCGAGCGCCCTGCGTGCACCCATTGAGACCGGCCGCTTTCGGTGGCGGCCGCTATTTTTGGCCGGCTGGACGTGCGCTCTGACGTCCATGCGCGGTCGATAGCGCAATTTGCAGTCGACTCTCATCTATTTCGGAAAGCGCGGCCGTGCCACCACTGGCCTGCTGAGCACGCCTTTGGTGACCAAAGGTCACCTCCTGTACACGTGTGGTGACGCACTGGGCGGCGCCCTGCCACCTGTTCCCCGGCTATCGGTGACTAGTGAAGGGCTATCACCGGAGACGGATTTGAGACTGGTAAACGGGCAGCAGTATATAGCTGCCACCCGAGACGGGTATAGGTTAATGGCAGCGCTCAGTGCTCGCCGTCCATCGGAGCGGCTGAGCTCCTGAGTCCAAACGCAGCCCACGGCCAGTACCTACGTACAGTGCGACTCGACATTCAGCACGTCCCGTATATCAATATGTAGGTCCACCACTCTGCTGAAGTTCAGAGGCAGCGTGATGGCGAAGCTCAGTGCGGGCGACTTTATGTACAACGAAGGGGGCGGAAGTGAATGGTCATAATTTAAGCGATGTGCGCCGGCTTAAGTACGGTATTTTGTAATATTTGATATTGTTCACTTTCAGCGACTGCTTATGTCTCGTCAACGTTTACATTACCAAAGCATTCACAGTTATATCCACTTCCCATCAACCCAGAAGGAAGGTTGTGTGTGTGTGCTTGTGGTATAAACGGCAGGATCCCACCCCGTCGCAGTGTTCTGTCCCGCCGAGCCTCACCTGTCTGAAGTTACAAAGCTGCCGCTAGATGTCACTGCAGTCTGCGCCTGAAGTTATGCTGTGCCGCGGGGCGTGGATCTCCAAACCTACATACACGTATATGTGGTACCGCTGCCGCAAGATATCACTAGGGTTTGCACCCGAAGGTATACTGTACCGCACGTCTCCAAACGTATATTGTACCGCTGCCGCTAGATGTCACTACTGTTTACGCCTGAAGGTATACTGTACCGCATGACTTGGGAACAAGGCAAATAAGACTGACTGCATAAAGACGACCCCAAAGGATAACCGCCGCGTCGGTCGTCACCGAACTTCCCTCAGAACAAGACGGTGTGTGGGTGACGGCTCGGATGATCGACGGATTCCCACTCTGGCCACCACCCATCGGCACGGAACGGACACTATTTTTATCGCCAGTCCTCTATGCATGACCCCATGAATATCCGGCTGCGCCGGGCCATTGTGGGGCAGCGATTCGACACGCCACATGTGTAGGGACGGATGCGGTAGGTATTTTCTGAGAATATCCACTGCTCGCGTTAAATTTGCATTATTGCCCGTCTTGGATAAGCACAAAAAAATGTCTCAGTGTCCGCATCCACTGAATTTATTAGGTACTCACTGTAAAGTTTAGAAATATTTCACATAAAGATACGGGCAGCAATGACTCATGACGAAAAAAGACATCACTGTACGTCGTCATCTATGAGTCACGAAGGCCAAAGCCGATTCCAAAATTAGCACATGGTTACTTGTAAATACATCAGCTACTCAATGGCTTCCTCGATGTTCGAGCAGCGGATGAGTGTAACCGAGAAGGACATTAATAGCTCTGAGAGCTGTATGTAAGTGGACCGTATGGCGGTAGCTGCCAGCTGCGCTCTCGGTGCAGTAAAGGTGAATTACACTGTGACGTCTTTGTGCTGGCGACGGCGGAACGAAGCTTTATGACTGCCGCGGTGGTCGGGAGGCGACGACGTGTGCGCCGGATTGGCACAACCGAAGCCAACTTGGGCCGTTGACTTTCTGGTGCCTGGTGCGCCACAAAGAGAAGGCTGCTGTCGCTGGAACCGTGTTCTGGAGCTCAGCTGGAGCTGAACTCGCCCCGGCACAAACTGTGGGAGCGAAGAGGAAGCTCGAACCGATGCACGTACTGGGGAAGGCTATATTCAGCTCCCGCAGGAATAATTAGGATTACTTAAACGGATACCTACTTGAAGTTCATTTGACTTTGAAGTTGTGAATTCGACACGCATGAGGAACTTGCAGCAGTAGCGGCGGAACACCTCCAATTAAGGGGGGGGGACACTGCCGACTTTTGGTCCCATTCTTTCCATACAACGCCCATAGGGCTAATGTTAAAATGCCAAAATCAAAGGGAGGCACGATGCCCCGGTGACCTCCCCGTTCCGCCGCCTATGACTTATAGTCAAGGAAGCGTGCCGCATGCTTATAATGCATGCATCCTAATGATAACTTTATTTGGCCTGTAACGGTCCTTTCTCGATGCGACCGTCCTTGTCGAGTACTTTCTGATTGAATGTGTTCTTGAACGATAGAAGAGAACCATTACCGTGACCAAGTACGTTGGTATCCGATTACTACATAACACTCCCAGATGATTTGTCAGTGTGCTGCAGCTAAAGATACAAGGCTAAAGAAGGTCATTGCTATATGAGGCGCTAGCAGAAATGCTTAGGAGGATTTCTGAGGCAACGTCAGAAGAACCTACATGAAGAGAGGCTGTGCAGGTGAACTCTGAGGCGAGGTCAGAAGAAATTGCGAGGAGATGTCAGGGGAGCTCTGAGA